GGGCCTTCATCCCTAGATCATTGCTATTTCATCCCATTCACTCCAGGAAGAAATGACAGTCATTTCACTCCTAACAATATATGAAATTTGTGAATCTGAGGTGGCAGGAAGGAAGAGGAATGCCAGAGTGGAAAAAAGTTCATTTTAAAAGCAAATCACCTTTGGCAAACTTCTTCAGCTTAATGGACAGGCATAATGCAGGCATAAATACTGGGCTTTATTTTTATGCTGTCAGATTTTCTTTTTTCCCTGCTCTTTCTCTGGGAGAGAAGTTGGGGCTCCAGGCCATATATAGACCTAGTTACTGTCTTGCTCTTGAGAGGACTTGGCTTACAGCACTGCTTCTTTTGAGGAAATTGCCTGGCAATGACACCAGTTTTGGGGATCAGTGAAATTTTACAGCCTTTCCTGGTACTGCATCTCCTCCCTGGTTCTAGGTGGTTTTCAAGTGAAAGCTTTCTGCTGTGTATTTCTTGTAAAGTTTTGGTGTTCTTGATGTGCAGAGTATCATAGGAAAAAGCAAAAGTCGACTACGTAAAATGCTACCAAATGTGGGTGGGGAAGCAAAATAAGAATTTTGCTCTTCTGTCACCTTTTTCAGCTCTGGTAGCTCTTGGTTACAAGGAGCAAGAGCTCTATCCAAGGTGAGAGCTGCCTGGGTTTTTCACTTCAGTTTATTGCAGGTTTTGAATTGTAGAGCTGAAGTTTGAGACAAGTGCTTATCCTGGTACAGAATGAAGTATGCCATAGCTCCAGGCGAAGACATTCCTGCTGTGAGTGGGAACAGCTGACCTCATGCTTTGACCTCCACAGGATCTAAGTGGATTTATTCATGTGTTTAAAGCCAGCATATGCTTCTGTACATTGCTAAGCCACAGCCTCGGTGACAAACAACTCCAGATTAATTATATAACAAGGGTGATTGCTTTAAGTTAAGGGTGAATAATACCACTTCACTCAGGATATCCAAACTGCTACTATGCAAGGTGCTGGCATGGTGTGAAAATTACTGGGAAGGATGGATCTGGAGTCTTTCCAGTACTATAACTCTGTATTTCCCAATAATGTATTCTGCTCTGATATTCCAGGGGGGGGTAAAATATTTTTTTTCTAGCATCAAGTTGTGATGGTCACTTCTTCTGTGGTGTTTGTTTCTTTTTTTCTTTGTGTACACGAATTTAAGTTGGTGCAATTAAGAAATATACGATGTACAGATTTATTATATCAAAAAAAACCCGAGAAGAGGATTTTTTTAAAGAAGTAACTCTTGCTGTACATACAATAAAAGCCTATTGTCTCTGTGTAGTGTGCTGTCCTACATACCCAGCCAGCCAAGCATAACAGATGGATTTCTACTCTCCTTCACTCATTCGACCTGTTGCTTAACACAGTCCATTTACCTGTTTGTTCAGGAGCAGAGTTCTCTACCTGCCCTGTGCTGACACTGTGGGTTGTTTCTGATAACCCTGTCCTATCAGGTGGCCCCTTGTTGCCTGAGAAATCACCTGAAACATGGATTGGGTGGGAATTTAATGGCGAGAAGGAATTGTGGAACTTGTTGTAGTTACTTATTATTCTTTCTCTCAGTTATGTTGTAATACCCTGAATTGGGGGGCAAAGGGGAAGGAGTGTTAAGGCCTTGATCCTGTGGAGAAGATGCCAGTACTAAAATAGAACAGCCTGGGAAATGAGGTTCTCTTGCAATTATTTTATTTTAAATGTTATGTTATAAATCAGTGCTGCCACAAAGCCCTACCAGACCGGGGGGGAACACACACAACAAAACTAAAACAACAGAACACACAGCCAACCAAAAAAATAATAGGCATTCACATGAAAATAGCCACAACAGTGTTTCTATTTCTCTTCCAAAAGTGAGTGCTGTCCCTTCTTTTACAAGGAAATATTATGTTTCCTTACTTGGGGTTACTGCTCACATTTACGTGCCTGTTTATTTCACTGCTTTGCTGAGAGTTCCTAATAGTCTCCCAACTTTTTCCTTTTCCTTCCTGCTCTAATCAGGGGAGAGGTTTTATACTTTGTGTGATGCCATTTCTGTACATTAGCAAAAGTGACAAGGCCTATCAGAGGGGGAGCAGGAATGGATGTAGCACTGTCTGGCACCACACCCTTCCCTTAAGTTCATCGTTCTTAAACAATGAATGTTTTTATTATCTCTCTATCCAAGCCAGCTAGTGTAAGGTGCAAGTTCACAGTATGATGTTAACACTGAAAAAAAAAAAAAATTTAGACCTACAGGATCCAGACTCACATGCATTCTAAACATACAGATAACTATTCTGAATTATTTTATACTTATTCCAACAAAGTGAATGCACTGCAAGTAGGATAACCACCCTTGTGTACTGGATGCTGGAAAAAACTAGGCAGAGGTCCATGTGAGTATGCACTGAGATGTACAGGGAAAATAAATTAAAGCAGACTATACAAAGCTAAAGGTCAGTCAGCTTTGGTCTTTGAAAAGGCAAATGACTTTTACCTGCAGTTAGATCCTTGAAAAAACTCCCCTTACTGCTCTTGTGCTCATTGAAAACTTCTGGTGAGTCATTTTGAAGGAATAAATGGTTCCCCCTCCCAAAATTAACACTGTCTTGCCAACAACAATGTTTTCAAAATTCAAATGCTGCATTATTTCAGTTTACCCAAGCACCAAGAAGAAGACAGTCCCAAGATGGTCGAGGTCCTGGGGTGCATCAGGAAGAGCACTGCCAGCAGGTCCAGGAAGGGGATCCTGCCCCTCTGCTCAGCCCTAAAGAGGCACATCTGCAGTGCTGGGTCCAGTCTGGGCTGCTCAGGACAGGAGGGACATGGAGCTCTTGGAGCAGGTCCAGAGGAAGATGCTGAAGGGATGGAGCATCTCTGGGAGCAGGAAAGGCTGAGGGAGCTGGGGCTGTTCAACGTCGAGAAGAGACGCTGAGAGGGGACCTCCCCCAGGTCTGTAGGGGCTGCAGGGAGGGGGCAGAGGATGGACCAGGCTCTGCTCGGGGGGGGGGGACCCAGCAATGGGACAAGAGGAACGGACAGGAACTGATGCCCAGGAAGTTCCACCTGGACATGAGGAAGAACTTCTTTGCTGGGCAGTGACCGAGCACTGAGCAGATTGTCCAGAGAGGGTGTGGAGTCTCCCTCACTGGGGATATTCCAGAACTGTCTGGACACAATCCTGTACCATGTGCTCTGGGATGACCCTGCTGGAGCAGGGAGGCTGGACCAGATGACCCACTGTGGTCCCTTCCAACCTCACCCATCCTGTGATTCTGTGAATACTCTCTACACATCTCTTTTGAAACTGGGTACTTGTTGTGCAGAAGGGTTCATGGGATGGGTAAGGTGAGAAGCAAGAAAGGCCCCGGCCTTTGCCAACTGTTAAAAGATGTAGCCAGACATGAAAAGAGCACATCCCCTGGAGAGAACAGAGCTGGTGCCTGCTTTCTATCACCTTTAAATCTGAAGCAGTGCTCTGACTGTGAACCAGTCACACCACAGCGGCACGGCTGTGTAAGGCTTTGAGGGGACTCTGACTCAGGTAACACTTCCTGCAAGAGCTAAAAACTGGGGGCACCTTCCTTGAACACAAAAAGCCTGAGTAGTTCTTTCCATGGCCACCTCCTCTGAGGGGGTTCTTGGCTGCACAGAGACACTTCACATGGGGAGTGGTGAAGTACCCTGAACTGAAGGTTTAAGCCCCCTGGGGGAAGAAGAGCACTCTTTGTTTCCTGGGCACCAAGCCTCTGTGGTGGCCCATAAAAATATAGGCATTGCTGCTTAGGTTTCTGAGTGATGTGTGTCTGCAGTGTTTGCTGTCAGGCACAGCAGGGCTGGGCCCTGATAGACCCTGCTAACACCAAACTGACGAGAGACTTAGGAATCATAGAATCAATTAGGTTGGAGAAGACCTCTGAGATCATCAAGTCCAACACCACAATGTCAATTAGACACTGAGTGCCATGCCCAGTTTTTCCTTAGACAGCTCCAGGGACGGTGACTCCACCACCTCCCTGGGCAGCCCATTCCAATGTTTAATAACCCGTTCTGTGAAGAAATTCTTCCTAATGTCCAATCTAAACCTCCCCTGCCGTAGCTCAAGGATATGTCCTTTCATCCTGGCGCACTGAACCTCTATGAGGCTTGGGATACAGAGGCACAGGTGCTCAGGTGCATGGCCAGGGCTTTGGCTTTGGAAACACAAGGCACGTCCAGAAAGGGCAACGAAGCTGGTGAAGGGTCTGGAACACAAGCCTGATGAGGAGTGGCTGAGGGAGCTGGGGGTGTTAAGCCTGGAGAAAAGGAGGCTTGGGAGGGACCTTCTTGCTCTCTACAACTCCCTGAGAGGAGGTTGTAGCCAGCTGGAGGTCGGGCTCTTCTCACAAGCAACCAGCGACAGGATTAAAGGAAATAATCTTAAACTGTGCCAGGGGACGTTTAGGTTGGACATTAGGAAGAATTTCTTCACATAAAGGGTGATTAGACATTGGAATGGGCTGCCCAGGGAGGTGGTGGAGTCCCCATCCCTGGAGGGACTGGACATGTCAACTCAGTGCCCTGGTCTAGTTGACACGGTGGCGTTCGGTCACAGGTTGGACTCGATGACTTCAGAGGCCTTTTCCAACCTGTCATTGACTCTGTGATCCCCTTCGAACGCTCCGGGACGCCTCCAGCCAGCACTGCCCAGGAGGAGAAGGGAAACCCAGTCGGTGCGAAGCGGGTGCTCTGCCACGCTCAGCGCAGCCACGGGAGCCGGAGGAGCCTCCCGGGGAAGGGCTGCGGGGTCTCGGGTGCGGTGCTCTCCCGGGAAGGGCTCCGGGTGGCGGAGGGGAGGCATCCCGAGCCAGGGCGGGGAAGGGACATGGACAGGGACGGAGATAAGGGCAGGGATAGGGATAAGGCACAGGGACGGGGACGGCGCCGCCGCCCCCCGCACTACACTTCCCGCCCTGCTCCGCGCCCCGGCCCCGCCGCCTTCCGCTGGCGCGTGGTTTCCGGAGCGGATCGGAACCCGGAGCGCGGATCCGATCCGGGTCTGGCCATTGCCGGGGCAGGTAACGCCGGTCCCCCCGCGCTCCTCCCGCCCGCACCCCGCGCCCTCCCCCGGGGCACCCCCCGCCCGGGACCCCCCGCGCCCGCCCCGCCGCGGCTCCTCCCGCCGCCCCCCGCGCCGCGCGGCGGGGCCGGGGCGGGCGCGGCGGCGGCTCCGAGCGGCTCCCGGGGCGGCGGCGGCTGCGGCCCCGCCGCCTCCTCCTCCCCGTCCTCGTCCTCCTCCGCCGCCGCCGCCTCCTCCAGGCCGCCTGTTCTTTGTTACAGCGGCCGGGAGGGCGGTAGCGAAGGGGGCGAGGCGGGTCCGAGGCAAAACCCGGCGGAGCCGCTCCCGGATCGCGGGCCCCGGGCGGGCTCCGGGAGGGGGTGGAGGCGGCGCGGTCCCGCCGGGGCGGCGGGGCGCGGGTGGGGTGTCCGCGGGGGGTCGGCCCGCGGAGGGAGAGGGACCCGTCGGGGCCACGGGGGTGCGGGGCCGGGAGCGGGGAAGCGCCTCGGCTTGGCCGCAGGGGTTCGGGAATGGATCGGGAGGGTGGGGGCGGGCAGGGGGGGAGGTTCCATGTGTGATCCAAAGGGAACGGGGGAGGAAAAGGAAGAGGCAGGTGTAGCGATGCTGATCCTGCCCCGGTGGGAGAAGGTGCGGCGGGAGCCCGAGGAGACAAAAGGAGGGAAAGCCGCGGACTGCGGCGCTTCGCACACGTGAATTTTCTGCAGTACGCTCGTTTTCATTAAACTTTGCGTATACTTCATGCACATGGTGATGGGGAGCGCTGGGAAGGGCAGGTGGCGCCGGCTCTCCCAGCCGGTGTGTTACTCCGTGTCCCCCCCCCGACTGGTGTAGGAATCGCCCCCTCTCCTCCTCCTCGACAAGAAATGATAGAATGGCCATAATTTTGTGGGAATGCAAGGCCTCTCTGTAGTTTGCCAGATGTTCTGCAATTACTTTGAGCAGTAGCATGAACAAGTTTGACTACATCATGAGCAAAACTGCATTTTTAAGTGCGTTCTCGCACACGTGCATCTGCAGCACCCGCCCACTTGTGCTTTCAAATTATTTATTCACACTTACTAGAAGCCCATTCTCAAACCAATGGAAAACTGAAGAAAGGCAGACTTTAATTTTAGCTTGTTGGTCGTTAAGTTCAAACGCAGATTTTTAGGCGTTGGATTTATTTTTTAGTTATTCTTGCTTATTTTTTTTTAATCCATTTGCAAGGTCGGAATTACTCAGCTTACCACTGGAGCCTGATTTCTTCCTTCAGCAGTTTATTAGGGGAAAGTGTGTTTTTACATCAGTTCTTACATTTTTGGATCCTTTATGGTACGAGTGGTTCCATCACAGTAACTCACATGTCATGCTCTGCACGCAGGTACCTGTGATGCTGCAGCCCCTCAGTGTCTTCATTTGGGTTCCCTCAAGTTCCAAATATGTTTGGAGGCCCGTGTGGCAGCTGGAATTTTTGCATGTAGCTGTGTGCTCTACTCTCGGGCACAAAGTCACCCATTTAATTATACAAGCAGAAAAAAAAATGTGGTTTTCTGCTCTTTTACTGCCATCAGAATTAGGCCTTGTACCTGGTCTTATTTCTTCCGTGTAGCTTTTCACCTGATTATTCACTGCTAATGATCGCTCTCTGTTTCATATAAAAAATACCTGGAATTCCAAGAAGGTTTGATTATCTCTGCAAGACAAGAGCAGAATTATGGGCAGTGGGATGAGTGACTTAATGGAGTATTTTTCTGGTACAAATGCTTGAAAAGAAAAAAAAAAAATCAGACATGGCCCAGAGCAACAGCAGAAAGAGGGTAAAATTCTGAAGCCTGTCTTCAGTGCCATCATGTGAGCCCACGTGGAACATCGTGACTCTGTTTACCAGCTGGAGCGGGTGGCATGGTGTCATTTATCTCAGAAACTCTTGGGGAAATACATGTGAGATTTGGGAGGAGTTTTGAAGCCCATGGGTGAGGAGTGTGAGTCTGTAAATCCGAATTTTGAAGCAGATAGGGGTGTTTGTTTCAGAGCCCAGCGGGTCGTCGTGCCGGGCGCGGGAACGGTGTGTGACATCCTGCGATGTGCAAAACAAAAATCTTTGCTGCAGAGATGAAAACTGCGCTAATGCAGGTGATAACTGAGGTGTGGTGTCCTTACCCACTGCGTGAGGGACCTCTGAGGGACCTTCATGCTTTCTCCCCATCACCTTGAACAACATTGATGCTACGGTGATTTCTCCGCCCCTTTGTTGCTATTCTCATCTGACGGGCCCTGGAACAAGACTGATGTTGCTGCTCCTGTAACAACACATGTCCTCAATCTGCTGTTTGTCAAGGATGCAACACAGGAACATCCTGGAAGGGGAATGCCTTTGCTGAGCAGGTCACACAGCAGCATTCCTGGTGTGGCTGCACTGCATCCCCCCCTGAACCATTGACCGAGGACGTTATTTGTTAATTCAGCCATATTTAGGATGAAAGTCTTGTCAGGACATCAACTATCTAAAAATAGTACACCTTTGTACACCTCTTGAAATAGTGCAAAGCATCCACATAAAGTCTTGGTTAAAAAGCAAACCCATTTTTTACATCAGCTTACAATGCAGTTTCTGTGGCTGGTTTTGCACCATTGTAGTTTGGATTTCCCTAAATACGTGTTACATTGTTTGCTGTGCTTTCAGGGTAAGAGCTTTTGGGGAAATTTCCTGAATTTGCTGTTGTGCTCAGCGCTGGGCTTTTGTATAAATGTTTGTTATGTTATATGAGCTTAGTCCCCAAAAGCTGTAGCCAAAAAAGGCCCAGCTTTGTGCCACAGATAGGCAGTGTTGCCCCCTTCCCAGGGCAGTGGGTGTTAGGAGGGATCCTGCAGTTGGCAGGTGGAGTTGGGCAGGGCAGAGCTTGGGACAGACCATGTGGGAAAGTCAGGCTGCCCATACTCCATGACCAAAATTCCCCTTAGGCTGTTGCCCAGATAGCTGAGTAACAGGATCCCTCCTGCCATGACCAAGAGCCACAGTGACCAGGTGTCCCTTTGTATTCCCATCAGCTGTGATGGCTTTTACCCAGTGCATATCTGTGTGAGGATGGAGCCCTTTGCTAACTGGGAGTTGTTTATGGATTGGTGAAGGAACCTGTTTGCTGCTTCTGGTGGAGGCTGGAGGTGGAGCAGGGTGTGGGTGCAGCTGGAATCAGACATTGCTCCCAGGCTTTAGCAGCACACTTGGCACAAGTGTGGAATCCTTCCTGAAGCAGTGAAAAGGATTGTGTGGGACTTGTGCTGAGAGGTACCTGTGCAGAAGTAACTGCTGCTCTGGGCTCCAACCTGAGGCCTATTTCCACAGCCCAGCCAGGCAGAGCACATGGAGCATCAGTCTTCAAGAGTAAACTCCTAATGGGGAGTCCTGCTCCTGCCCTGATCCTGAGTAATGACTGTTCTTGTGCATATCTTTGGCTTGGCTTTTGTTGCAGTAGTAGCAAATGCTTTATCTATTTTCAAACAGGGCTCTGCTAGTTTGGTGTGTCATGTTTCCTCTCCTCTTGTCCTCCTCCCTCTCACAGGGTCTCTCTTTCTCCTTCCTATTCTCTTCTTGACCGATATACTTTCTGTTTTTGCAGCCTCATCTCTCTTAAACTTGGGTCACGATCTTCTTGTTGCTTTGCCTCTTACTGGGTTATTGGGAAAATTGCTTGTTTGAAGAGGAGAGCCTTTTCATGGTTAGAAAAGGGAGAGCTATCTGCTGTTGTGATCTTAGCCATAAATAATCAGACTTATTGCCATAATTTAATCACTGAGGAGCAATAGATAGTGTTCATGCAAGTCTTTAATACAGGTCAACAAAAATGAAATGAATGTAGATTATCCTTATTTAACCATGAAAGCAAATTGGTGAGTTACTATTTCATGGAAGGCCAGTGTCAGAGATGGGATTTGTTTTCCCAGGTTTTCTGATGTTCATTACCTCAATATACCTTAGCCTTTAGAACAAATCTGTGACTTTACCTGCAGTTTTTAGGTTCTTAGGATTATTGTGTTTATTAAATAAGTAATCTGCCTTTCAGAGATAATTTTTTTAAGCTACTGTTCAGGAAAATGTTGCACGGGGCCTTGTTTCTGCGGTCACTGGGGGTTTTAACAACTTTAATTTCTTTAACTTTCCATTGATACTCCTTTGGGGACATTAATGTGTTTGGGTGTGCTCTGGGTCAGTCAGCATCGTTACTTCACAAAGGGATGTTTACATAATATGGAAAGTAAAAGTCATTCGGAACTAACTTCATCTTTTGTATTTTGGCAGGTTTAAAAAATGGCCGAAGATGGCAGTGATGAGATTATGTTTATTTGTAAGTATCAGGAAAAAGATCCGACTCTCATGTTGTGTGGCTTGTCTACTCAGAATGTTTGAAATTAAAGACTAAAACAAACTAAGATTTTATTTAGAAAAATATTTTATTAAAGGAAGCTCAAACAGCTTATGGAGGAATAGAGAGGAGGGTGTGTAATTGAAGCATACACATTCTGATCCTGTTGGCAAACACACAAGGAAACCTCTGAATGTGAGTGAGCAGAACAGCTTTTTCATGGCTGGAGTAAGTGAGAATGAAGGCCTAACACCAGTGTAAGCCTTTGTTTATCCAGGCAGCTTTAGCAACCCCGAGGTGTCTGTGAGGAACTGTGACCTCTGGCCTGACCTGAAGATCTGCACCTCCACAGGAGGGGGAGGCAGGCTCATTATTCTTTCAGAACAAGCCCAGTGTGAGATGCACCAACTGCTCTGACAAGTCTCACTCGTGGCATTCACTGCCTGTGCTTCACGTTTCTGCCCTCTGTGTAACCCCATGTGGCCTGGGATCTGGACTGTGGGATCGTGGTGAGTGAGGGAAGGCTGCAGCAGTGGTGTGCCAGGGAGTGTGGTGGGCAGTGTCCCATCCTTGGTGGAGCTTGGCCAGTAGCTCGTTTCCCAGTGGCACATTAGCCCTGCAGCCTTGCCTTTGTCACCAGCCTGGACGTGCAGGATCTGGTGTCACCGTGGAAAAAAATTAAGAGATGCAGAGTCCACTCACCTACTTGTGTGAGCAGAGAGGGCCCCGATATTGTGGATCCGATCAGGGCAGACCAGAATGTGTCCTTGGTTTCTGGATCCACAGTATTTTACCCCTGATGGCTCCACAGGTGCACTTTTAACCTTATGGCAACTATATCAGGAAGTTCCACTTTTCCCTTCCACCACAGATTCCTTCAAAAATGGTGTTGACTGCTGGCATTTTTATTGAGTTGCAGATACCAGTAGTGAAGTTACCTTGTCTTCCCATAGAAAGATTCTGGTGGATAGCAACAAGAATGGAAATGTGATGCCATTCCTTAATTGCACAGATAGAAAGTCACACACACGATTTTCCTCTTTCCAGTGAAGTCCGTGGTCTTTGAATGTCTCGAGTTTTCTTGTGCTCTCCGTAATTAGTTTTTCCCATGGGATGTGGGGACTGCTTATGTTCTGAAAAAGCGAGTTGTTACAAATGATACTGTGCATTCCCAGAATTAACAACCCTGAGTACATATTTCATAGACAAGAGAGTTTTGGAATATTTTTTTATAGAAGTCTGTGAATACAGTCCCCCCTGGAGGTATTTTATGCTTATTCCCATGCTAATTTTTGTGTTTCTCCTGTGGCTGTAATCTCTTGGTTGCTGTAAGGTATCCCCTGGATATTGAGACATGCCACACAATGCCAGTGTCATATTCCCCTGGATCTGGTCATTCCTCTGCAGAAGAGAGGAATGTGTGGTTTATTCCTGCATGTAGTTATGGACAGTGCAGTCTGAACCCATACAGTGGCTTATCTTTGCAGAAATGAGGAGTGCCTTGATGCAATCAGGAGAAAAGAAAAACACAAAGTTTCCTTTGACAGCAAAGCCTGTGTGAGAAGCTGCTGCTCTGGCTATTCCTTCCTGTCCTCGTTGGTTATGACAGCCCTTTGTGGGGGATAATCCAGTTTTTTTTCAGCAGTCTGGTTTACACATTCCTCTGTGGCTCCTCTCTGCTTTGGGAAATCTGTATTTAGCCCAGGTTATTTCAGGAATATTAGGCACAGTGTGAGCTACAGGCTCACCTAAAGGAGTGGGGATGGTGGGACAGTAAACAGGACAGCTGTAGGCTGAGTTTAGATGCTGGTGCTGCGTGGATGGAACTTCCCCACGGATTCTTTGCTCTGACACAACTGTCTGGTGCTGTACAGCAAGCCAGACTGGGAAATTAATTCAGCTGAAAAATAAACTGATGGGAAGAGCTGGTTGTCTCATTCCTCAGTTCACCAGAAGTTAGCACAAACAGGAGGCAGCAGCCAGGCTTGGGGGTTGCATCAGTCAGTACTGCTGTTTGTCAAATATACGTGAATTTTCACTGCAAACTGTTTTTGTTGCCAGAAGAAGAAACAATGTGGAGCTGTGTATTGCAGTTTGGGATCCCCTGGTTTAGAAGAAGTCCTTTTATTCACTGGGAAAAATACCTGGGGGGCAGAAGTTTCCAGTTAGGAGTTCAGAGTAGCTTTACCAGAGGGAACATACCTTGGAATGACATGGCTTTTGTCATGTCTCTTCCCAAACAAGGTGTAGTGATCCTTCTCTTTGCATCCTTACTGTGGTTACCTGACTTGCTCTTGTAAGTGTGGAGCTCAGATGGAAATGGCACTACAGGAATATAACCCCTGTGTGATGATCTCCTCTGAAGCTGTGTCAGCAGCTGACCAGGCAGGGCAGTTTGGCAGCTATTTTTTCACAGCGAAGCAGTGTATATGCATTTGGAATCCTGTTAAGTTAGCTTATTTTAGAAAGCCTCAAATTATCGTGGTCTGAAAATGGTTTCTTAGGAACCACTCAGTTCTGGGTAATTTACAGCCACTTAAACTAAAAGTTAATTTAGGTAAACTGACAGTGAACTAAGTGTATTGTGCAGCCAGATGACTTGTTTGGAAAGGCACCAGAAGGTATCTTAGAGGTCTGTCTCCCTGCTCTGTGGGTGAGAAGTGTGTGTGGGCCAGGCATGGCTCTGGGCAGAGCTGGGCTCCCAAAACGTGCTTGTGCTGAGGTCTGTGCCAGTTCTGGTACTGATTTATGCCTCCTGTCACTGAAAACACCACATTAGCCAAGCTGTTTCTAAAAAACCAGGTTCTGGGGAAGGTAGTAATGTGGTTTTCTTTATCTGCTACATGTTACAGCACTTTATCTGAAGAATAATGCCATCTTTAAGCAGAATATTTACTGTGGATGTAAGGCAATTATTTTCCCTCTGAGAGAGAATTTAAACAATTGTCTTCTGATAGCACTGATCACAGTATGTTATCACACCTATGCAGGTGCCAGCTATCAACTCGATGTTCAATTATTCATGTTCTTTTAAGCAATACAAATAAACATCTGCCTCTCTATGTATGTATTTTGCCTGGTGCCAGGTTTGGCTTGGAAGAAGGCGGCAGCTGTCTCACAAAAGTGTTTTATCAACCTTTTCTCTCTGCTTCCTTGCAGGGTGTGAGGACTGTGGGCAGTACCATGATTCAGAGTGTCCTGAGCTGGGCCCAGTGGTGACAGTCAAAGACTCCTTTGTCTTGAGCAGGGCAAGGTAAGGAATGTTTGAATTAGTCCTGCCTAACCCAACACCCCTGTTAGTCCTTTAAAACATATCTGCTGGCTAATGGGTGTCGCTGACAGCTGGAAAGCGAAGTCCCAGTGGGCTGCAGAAATTTATGGGAAGCACATGGCCTTGATTAAATAGAAAAATTGATGCACGCACTTAAGTGCTGTACTGAACTGAAGCCAAAAAAATAACGTGCTGCTCATCAGGATCTGGTTTCTCCGCAGAGGTTTCTGGCAAAAAGTCAGGTAGTGCCAGATGGGGTGATGACTGCTGTCTTGGTGGAGTACCTGCCACTTTTTCCCCTCCTCAGATGCACTGTATTAGTTTCAGAGAAGTGTGTGAGGATTTCTCATTCATGCTGTATCCTCCTGCTTGGTATGAACTCCCATCATTCCTCCGCTTAAAAGCAAAACAAGTTGTTCTCATTATTGTGGGTCTTTAGGAATGATTAGGGGTAATAGTTCTGTCAGAAAATCTGTGACAGCCCAGCAGAAACGCTCATGTTTGCCAAAAGAAACAAACAGACTAAATCTAGTTGGGAGCAAACAACACTGAGTAGTGATTTTTAAAGAGAAAGACAATCAGGCGTTGTCAGCAAAATTCATATTAAGACGTAAAATGTAAGGCTCAGGAAAGGAATCAGCTATTGTGAAGATGTAGTACAAATCCAAAAGGGGAAGAGAGTTCAAATGGAGTTCAAATGGATTATATAATGTGCTCAAGGCTTCTATATTTTTCCTTGGGGGAGTCACAGGCAGAAAACATGGGCATGTGGGCAGCAAGTCTGGCACCTGCTGGCTATGTAGGCCGTAGTGTGTATTCCCAGGATCGTTTTGTAACAAATACTGGATGTGCTGGATGTGCCACGTGGGGCAGGATGCTTCTGGTGTCCCACCCTGTACACTGGCAGCACTTGTGCAGGAGCTGTCACTGGTTTTCTGGGCCTTCCTGGAAAAGGAACTGCCCTGGCAGCTCCTGCCAGGCAGCACCTTCCTGTGCCTGGAAAAACCTGCCATGGATGATCTGCTGCAGCAGATGTTATCTGTTAACAGCCCTGACACTAGAGGTGCTTTGTCTTTGGGGGTAATTTCAAAATAGGAACAACAGAAACTGGGAATGGAGGTGCTTTTCTTACACACAGAATCTGGGCAGTGCAGTAAGTTCCAGCCTGCACTACACAGATTGAATGACTGTTGTTTCTTAACCTTTTATCTATTTTCTTTTTCCTTGCAATTTAATGCTCTTACTATAAGTATGGTGGAAAATTACCACAGCGTCCAGAATTTCCAACTGTGAGTGTTTGCAAATGTGGTGCTTGCACTGGTTTTCAGTCTTTTTTTTTTTTTGACATGCAAATGCCAAGTTTTCCCTAGTGGAAGTTTGGGCTGCTGGACAGTAGATTTGAAAGCAGAATTTAAAACTGACTGTATAACAGAAAAATGTGTTTATTTTCCTGAAGAGTTTACAGCCGAAATCAGGTAAGATAAGAAAAGGAAAGAAGAAATGTAAGGGCAACCTTTATTTTACATCTGGGAACAGTAGCTGAGAGAGTGAGTTGTCTGAGATTGAGGGCAAGTTTAACCACAATGTGGATATGACTCTCTTAAAAACCAGTCTAGTTGTTTAACCACAATTGTTGTTTCCTCTGTCCTAATGAAGAGATGAAATGAATAAACCATAAAGATTATAAAAGAAGTGTTGAGAAACATCTCCTGAGCTTCACTGTCTCTAACATTGCTTATTCTATGTTTAAAACTGAAAACATTTTTTTCAATTTATTTGCTTATCACTATTATCTTCTTGTATTTCTCTTCATCTAGACACTAAAGCAGTTCTGCCAGTGTCAACTTTTGTAGTCAGTAGTTTGTCTGATTATTTTTAGCTTTTCCATCTGTTAGCACAGACCTGAAAAGACAGAGTTGCATTTGGGGTCTGTAAAACCAATACGGTGGTTCCAGTCATATGATTTTTTTGGGAAGATGTTCTCTATGTATTCTGTGTAGTAACAATCTTCATTGCACATAAGCACTTGTGATCAGTGTATCAGTGTTTGTAATAAGGGCTCTACAAAGCAGATGGGAAACTTCCAGGGCTTTTGATCTGCATAAGTCTATAAAGTGTTAATTTGGGGAGGGATATAGTTTATTTTTTAAAGTAAGCATGATCATAACCAAAAATGTGTAGGATAATTCATTTGGGAAGAGGCCTCAGGATATTCCAGTCAGAACTAACATCCATGCTCAACCACTCATTTTTATGCATATTGTCCCTTCTGCTTTTGCCCGTTTTTGATGTCTTTCCCTTACTGGGAGCCCAAAAAAGGAGGCAGTAAATCATCAGGATCTCATGAGTGCAGAGCAGAGGGGAACAATCAATTGCCTCAATTTGTTGGCTGCTCCTCCAAATCATCCAGGCTGTGTTTGGCCCCCTTTGCTGCTGGGACATGGCCTCATGTCCACCTCGCTGCCCACCAACCCCCCAGGGTCTTTCTCCCTGGTGATGGTGCTGGCTGGGGTTCTTCCTTCCCAGGTGCAGGACTTTGCATTTGTCCCTGGAATTTTACGTGGTTCATGCCAGTGTATCCAGGCTCCCCAGGTCCCTCTGGATAGTCCTGCCCTCCGATGTATGGACTGTGCCCCCCAGTTAGTGTCATCTGCACTGGATGAGAGTGCACTCCCTTGTCCCTTCTAGGTTGTTAAGGATTGTTTAACAATACAGGTTCCCAGCACAGCTCTCTGTGGTGCCCCAGTTGTTATGGCCTCCACTGATCATGACCCTCTAAGCTTGACCACCCAATGAGTTATGTCCTCTAGTAGTTGTGTACCCATCCAAGACCACAACATTCCAACTTGGATACAGAGAAGATTGTTGAAAGCCTAAAAAAATGTAATTTCCCTTAAGCTGAAGGGACATGGCATCTGTTGCTCTTCCCTCATCCACAAAGCCAGTCATTTTGTCCTGGAAAACAAACAGTTTGTCAGACATGAGTTGCCCTTATTCATTCCGTGGGGACTCTTTCCAGCCACCTTCTCCTCATGTGCCCATAAATGCCTCCCAAAAGGTCTTGTTCCATGGTTTTCCCAGGGGCTGAAGTGAGGCCAATCAACCCTTTGGAATATAATCCTTTTTTGAAGATGAGTGCAACATTTGTCTTTCTTCGGTCACCATCATAGAATGGTTTGGGCTGGAAGGGACTTCAAAGCTCATCCAGTTCCCTTGCCATGGTCAGGGATGCCATTCCCCAGACCAGGTGGCTCAAAGCCCCATCCAGCCTGTCCTTGAACACCTCCATGGATGGGGAATCCATAGATTCTCTGGGCAACCTGTTCCAGTGCATCACTACTCTCGAAGTAAAGAATTTCTTCCCAATATCTAATCTAAATCTCTCCTCATTTAGTTTAAAACCATTGCCCCTTGTCCTGTCACCATCCACCTGTGCAAAAAGTCACTCTTTCTGTTTTTTATAAGCCCACTGAAAGGCCACAATGAGATCTCCCTGGAGCCTTCTCTTCTCCAGACTGAACAACCCCAGCTCCCTCAGCCTTTCCTCACAGCAGAGCTGCTCCAGCCCTCTGATCATCCTTGAGGCCTCCTCTGGACCCACTCCAACAGGTCCACATCTTTCCTGATGGATGCAGCACTGCAGGTTGGGGTCTCTTGAGGGGAGAGTCATCAGACATCTCCCCTGATGCCCGTGGTCTTTCCAAGACAATTGAGAGTAGTCTCAGTATGGTATTGGACTACTCTGTTGGGATTCTCAGGTGCAGCCAGTCCAGGTAGGCTCCTGGACTTACACAGACTGAGCTTTCTCAGGTAATCACTGATTTGTCCCTCCTCCACTGCTGGTAGTTGTTTTCCTCCATTTATAAACCCTCACAGAACTTAGGGTGTGTTGATCAGAAAACTTTGCTGTTACCAGAATTTGGAGGAATACATGTTGACTTCTTTCTTTCATCGGTTCCTGCAGTGTTGTCCCATGGGTAATTATTTTTTTCTTAAGACTCTCTTCAATTTTTAGGTCATCTCTGCCTTCTAATTTGGAGATAAGACAACTGGAAGATGGGACTGAAGGAGTGTTTGCTCTGACCCAGCTGGTGAAACGCACCCAGTTTGGCCCATTTGAGTGCAAGAGAGTTCTCAAGGTGGAAAAAGAATCAGTTTTTCCCCTGAAGGTGAGACACAGCACATGAGAAGCGAGAACAAACCGTCAGTTTTACCTGTGATGGATCTATGCCATCTAAAACTATGGAAAAAAGTGTACGTAGGGGGATTATTTGGAACATCTTTTAGGTGTGCTCTGTAATGGATGAGTTAAAGAAACAATCTCTGGGCAAAGTACAGAAGAAGCAAACTAGTGGATCATTCTGTGTTTGAAGTGTTATAAGAGGTATAGTCAGCAAAACTGGTTGTCTTTCACCTTCTACATGTGATGATACAAGAGGGACAACAGCTATGGCAGTTAATGAGACCCTTCAATTGGATTGTTTAGCTTTATGGAACATGTAGAATAAGTTGGGTTTTTTCTTCTGCCTTGCATTTGTTTTATTCCTCCCTTGACAAGTTTTGGCAGGAAAAATGCTGCGCTAAAAATGGAATTCGGTCTTAGTTTTCACTGATACCTAAGTCAGAAGTAAAGCCTTAGGAGTATGACTTGGGCTGAGGGGTGTTTTGCAGCGTATTTCACTCCATCCTCCTATATCCAGCCGTTTTTTGAGAAACTGGTGGCTGTAGCAAGAACTCTTAGGATAGGAAGTCAGTTTGTTCCCGTCCTGCTCCTGGTAGTCTGTCTCAGACTTACCCATCTGAAGGTGCGACTGATAAATGAAACACGCCTCGTGCCAGTGTTGAGGCTTGCCTTGTCTCTCTGCTGTACACTGAAAAGAAGCCATTGCAAAAGCAGGAAATAAAAATCTTCCTTGACTTCGTGTTATTTATCGGGGTTTTTATTACATGCACATGTTTTTCTTGGTAGGTGTTCCAGAAGGATGGGCCCCTGGTGTATTTTGACACCACAAACGAGGACGATTGCAACTGGATGATGATGGTGCGACCGGCCACCGAGTATGAGCACCAAAACTTAACTGCCTTCCAGCATGACAATGACATTTACTTCACCACCTGCCAGGATATCCCGCCAGGGACTGAGCTGCGAGTGTGGTATGCAGCTTTTTACGCCAAAAAAATGGAAAAGCCAGTGCTGAAGCAGGTCCCTAGTGTTGCCAATGGTATGTGTGGGGGCCTTTCTTCCTTCCTAAGGGCCCAGTGCTGACAGGGACTGACAGTCCCTTGCTGTTGTAGTTGACAGGGCTGTTTATCCAGTAGGCTCTGCCCCCTGAGTCAGGTTAACCTGCGTACAGGGGTGCCCTGCAAGAAGAAAGCACAGATTCTTCACCATGGTGCAGCCAAGTTTTTGAAAACAGACGGCCTAGTTGGTGACTGAGCCTCTTCGGAGTGAACAAACTGGATAAATAGTTCTTAACTAAAGAATTGGTGGTTGCATTTCTGTTTTTCTGGGTAAAAGGGCAAAGGAACTCGAGTATCAGTGAAGTCTAAACATATGTGCAGATTTTCTAAGGAAGCCATTCCCCTTCAGTTGCAGTGAAAGCGTTTTGGTTTTGCACAAAACTGTTACACAGTTCTGAAATAACTACATTTGTCTTAAGACATGGGACCCACTAGAATAAGATCCACATGGCTGTTTGTGCATTGGAAAGAAAGGCAGCGGATTTTTAGAATCTGAATTAGAATTGCCAGAAGTCTGTTGTTCCTCTGCCCCTTTATTTGCAAGGGTGTTTTCCTCCTGCTCTGGAGTTGGGAGTGTTCCCTGAATGGTATTACTGCTATGCTGAGTATAATTTGGGGTGACAAATGCTTGGGGAGAGGCCATTGCCATCAGCTTTATGGTTGAATCTTGATCATAAGCAGAATCTCAAGTGCTACAGCTGAGTTATTGCAGTTAACAGGTTTCTGAATTATGAGATGTTTTTGGTTGGTATTGAGAGGTTTCATCTTTTTCCTCTTTAGTTTAACCTGTTCATGTATTATTGCATGGATATGGGCATTTAAAAATATTGCTTAAATATGTCCTACTCTTTCTGTTCAGCACTTTCACTGTATACTCCAAAATATTAAAGGCACATTGCATGAGATTCAGGTATAAGAATGTCCTGGTTAAAATTTTACATGAGAATGTTATTTGCAGGCCTGCTACAGAGTAAAACTTTTTGACTTTGTGGTTGTTTCAAACCACCACGACTATGGTTACTGCTCTCAGCACAGAGCAAGAGAATCAAAAGGTCTGGAAAGTAAAGAAGATGAACTGTTTTTCCTCTTCACAGATGTGTGCTTGGCAGTGATGGAATCTGATAAAGAAGGGAATAAGGTCTCTTCAAAACCTTCTGCTGTCTTACCCCATAAAAAAACAAAGAAATCCAGCATATCAGCAGCTGATCCAGCAGGTAGGCAAAATTACAGTGTTTTTAAGGAGGTAGAGAGCAGATCTACAGAGCTCTTAGGTCTAACAGTTCTATGTATATAATTGTATATATATGGTTATATAACTTACAGCAAATATTAATTTAGAGAGGATTTGAAAGTCTGGATTTTTCTTTTAGTTTTCATGGGCACAGTGCTTAAAATACATATGCAGGTCGAAAAGAAACAGAGAGGCCAAACCTTTAGGCAGGTGATTTTCATGAAAAACACAACTGCTCCTGACTTTGGAGGTAGTTGGTGTTGAGGTGGAGGCACTCCTAAAGAAAATCTTCAGACTCCCTGTGCAAAGTGTAACAGTTCAAATGATCAGGTTCCAGAAGAAAACATGAGACTGTTGGGTAGGTGTAAGAACAGTTTGGAAATTACAAAAATACTGGCCATCCCCAAATTACAATAATACCAGAAGCCTATTCATGTTGAGACTGTTCTGGATTACAGGAACTCAAATTTAAATAAATTTTTAAGCAATACAGATACTCTTGGCAAAGAACATATGGCTGAGGAAATAGGACAATTAGAGTACCTAGTGTGGAGATCAGGATCAAAAAAACCCATTCTGGGCCTGTTCTTTAAAAGGTCACTTTCCTAAATTTTGCTTATTAATACTAAAAGTAGCCAGGAGGAAAGTTGTTGCAGATGTGTACAAATTAATTCTTTAGAAGATCCATTTGTTCCTCTTGGATACTGTCACAGCTAAAAATGGGAAGTTGACTGGGGAGTTGTCTTTGAGCTTGGCATTATTGATTTTTTCTGGGGGTAAATTATGAAGAATTTGAACAGCCCCTCCCACATCCTTCATCCTGCTGTCTGAAAGTCCAACTTCAATAGAAACAAAATGCTGCCTGTTGTATTTTGGGAACCCTAAAGTGTTCCCACTGATGTCGTGTTTTGGCGCTTCCAAACCAAAATATTCTCCTTTTGATTCTGACTGTTTGCCTCAAGTCATGCAAAGCAGTTGCCAACTGACAGATCTGTGGTTCCAAGTAAACCACGTTGCCCTGCAGCCTCCCTGGAAGCCTGAGGAAGTGGGAACTTAAACAGGACCTGACTCTTCCTGACAAACCAGAGCACAACTAGGGTTTCTGGGCTTACTGCTTGAGGCAGCTGAGGAGCAAGGGAAGTGCAGAGTCAGGGAAAATTAAGCTATGCAGAATCTTGGGGTTTAGATTTGCTGGTTTTGTCCTCCTGGACAGAGCTCTCAGGAAGTTCTTTATGTACCCTGTGAAGAAGGAATTTCTGTTGCTGTACTATCTAGTAATTTCTTATTTATTTATTTATTACAGCATGGATGAGATCACACCCCTGTAGTGCAGAATGTTGAGCATAACTTGTAGCAGGGAACAGCCTCTGCCTCAGAGAATCTGTTATTTTGGTTTAAGAGCCAACTCTGAAAAGGAGGAAGAACTTTATTGTCCCATCACAGATGGGGTCCTCAGGCAGAGAGAGATGAACTGACCTGCTAATCTGTGGCAGAAACTGAAGCACAATTTGAATTCCCTATGATGCCATTCACTTACCCAAACTTCAGTGTGATCCTCCTCCTCTGAGGGAGTATTGTACACTGTGGAATATTCAGCTTTGTGTGAGCAAAAAAAATCTCTGAATTGGTCCAGATTTATTGGATCCTCTTGACAAATTCAGACACGTTATTCAAGGACTAAAATACAATGGACTTTGAACAGAGTAACCATTTTCCTCTTTTTTTTCTTTTTTTCATTCCAGTTCCATTTTCCCTCTAATTTCTTCTTTATTTTCGCTATCTGGCCTGAACTTGAAAAAACATTAAATTAAAACATTAATATGGTGGTTTCATAGCACATTTGATTAATGGAACTGCTCAAATCCAGGTTTTCATTGTCCTCACCCTTACTTCCATTAATCCAAATGTTCTTACTCTGCAATGCTCTTCACAGAGAACAAGGAGGCTTCTCCTGCTTCTTTCCTCAGCTGACCCAGAAGAGCACTGGTAACTCCAGTTTTAAAGGTGCTAAAAATTGCATTATATCATGACTTTTATAAACACAGTTCTTAGAAAGTGAAAAAGGAGCCCTCAGGACTTTACAAGAGCACTGATACTCTCTCCTGGCATCATTTAGTATCTTCTGGTATTTCAAATGTTCATGTTTGGAAAATCCTGAAGTGATCCCAGCTGATCCCCATGGGCCTTTTATACCGCTTAAATTGTAACCTGTGATACTCAGGGAGGTATTGCAAGATAAATAAAGCCACAGGGATTTACCACCTTTCCCTTTCCAAGGCTTTTCAGTATTTCTTCTTGCTGTGATTTAGTGAACACTCCGGAAGGCAGTGGAACAGCAGAAGCAAAGCCCAGCCAGTGGATGTGTAAAGTGTGTTCATCTGCTTTCCAGGAGCCTCAACTGCTGACAGGTAAGAAGTGCTAGAAATTCATGAGAGAATACTGAGAACCATCAGCAGAATTCTGCTCTTCCACAGCTATGAAGCCATGACAGTCCACGATGCAGTAAGATAAAGGTTTTAGTTTTTGTGCAGGATCACCCTCGAGGAAAAAAGGCAACGCAGAAAGAACCATGTATTGCAGAATACACCATCTAAGGAGTCTTTCTGCTGTGCCTTTTGCAATCGGATTTGTCTGTCACGTATTGGCCTCATAAGCCACCAGCGTGCCTGCAGCAAATGTGGATAGAGCCTTCCCAAATCTTCGTTCGCGAAGCCTAGCCATGATTTTGGATGTGAGTGGTCAGTCTGTGGGCAAACAACTTTATTGTTGAATCTAGAAGAAATAAAACTCGTTTAGAGGATGACATGTGACTGTCAGGAAAATCAAGGATGGTGAGCTGCATGAGCAGTGTGGAAGGTCAGTGATGCCAGCTTATACTTCGTAATATTTTCTGTCTGGTATTTATGGCACATATTTAGTAAAAGTAATGAAATAATTTTTTTTCTGCATTTTGTTTGCAACTATATTATGCAGTTTTAAAAAAAAATATTTAGGAGCTCTGACCATTCAATAAATTAATTGTTTTTGAAAAGGGGGCTTAGCCCCTAAATAACTTGGGCATTTGGAAAAACATACCTGTTATTAGTATGCACAACCTTACTGGATATCACAACAGTGATATCCAACAAATCTCCTAAAAAATTCAGTCCCTGTAATTGTGTAAATGTTTAATAAATGATATGCTTTTATTTGGGAAGGTATTGGGGCTGCTTTTGAAATAATTTGAAGTGAGTCTCTGCAAAGAGAGATGAACCTGATAGATGGGCTTCAGCTGGATCCATTGGACTATTTTCATGACAGTTTCTTTCCTCCTTACTCTCTTGTTCTTTCCCATCCACCCAGAGCACTTGCTGAGTCACCTGGAACAAGCCAAAGGTGCCCCCCAGCCCAGCCCAAATGATGCTGTGGCAGAGAAGGCAGCAGAGGCTCCCCCCATGGAGCAGCCAGAGCCCAGTGATGCAGCCAGTGCCAGCACAGACTCCAGGAGAAAGGCCAGGAGGGGGAGAAAGGCCAAAACACCAAAAGCAGAAGCACCTCTTGTCGTTGATGAAGAGAAAGATCCCGCAGGTAAAACAGAACTTAAGAAAATGAGAAAGTGTTAAGGAATGTATCCGCTCATGCATCTGTATTGATGCCTTCTCAGGAAGGCCTAGAAAGTAGCACAGAGACAAGACGGAGGTTTTTAGTTAGACCAGCAAAGCAGATAATTAACAGGCTTTGTTAATTATCTCCAAGGGCCTTGTCTGTGCTGGATGTTGCAGGACCTACATTTAGATTGCCTGCATTCTCCTGTGATGGTTTTAGTGATAGAGAGGCCCAGAGAAACACAGGTTTATGAGACCTGCCTTGCTTTCTGCAGGAAGGAACAGGAGAGAAAGTATCTTCCCTCTCAAGAGGAGACATCTTCCTCTTGACCTTAAGGTTTATTCTTGAAAGAGACCTTTTTCAGGGCATTATCTTCCTTGAAGGGAAGTTCTAGTAGGAAATTTTACAATGCATGGCCAACTGACCCTTTAGTGACAGGTTGGAAAGGTAAGAAATTAGGCCTCCCTATGAGATTTTGGCTACATCTTGTCATTCAGCAGCCACTTGCTCTGACCTGGAAGTGACTTGTTAGCAATCCATTATTTGTCACTGACAAATAACATTTGGAACCTCGTGAGGCTCATCAAGGCCAAGTGCAAGGCGGTGGTCTCAGAACAGGCTGGGGGACGAAGGGATTGAGGGCAGCCCATCTGAGAAGGGCTTGTGGATGCTGGTGAGTGAGAGGCTGGACATGAGCCAGCAGAGTGTGCTGACAGCTCAGAAAACAGCCATGTCCTGGGCTGCCCTCGAGGGAGGTGGTTCTGACCCTCTTCTCTACCTTCACGAGACCCTACCTGGAGTGCTGCATCCAGCTCTGGGCTCCTCAGCACAGGAAGGACATGGAGCTATTGGATTGGGTCCAGAGGAGGCCTGCAAAGACCTCCCCTGTAAAGACAGGCTGAGAGACCTGGGGTTGTTCATCCTGGAGAAGTAGAAGGCTCCAGAGAGACCTGAGAGCCCCTTCCAGTGCCTAAAGTAGTCCTGCAAGAGAGATGGGAACAGACCTTTTAGCAGGGCCTGTGTGATAAGACAAGGGCGGAATGGCTTTAAACCAAAAGAAGGACAGTTTAGATTAAATATAAGGAAGAAATTTTTTGCAATGAGGGTGGTGAAACACTGGAATAGGTTGCTCTGAAAAGTGGTGGATGCCCATCCCTGGAAACATTCAAGGGCAGTTTGGTCAGGGCTCTGAGCAACCTGGTCTAGTGAGAGACCTTCCTGCCCATGGCAGGGGGATTGGGCTAGATGACCTTTAAGGCTCCCTTCCAACCCACCCTGTTTTATGATTCTGTGAACGTGTTTGCGGACAATTAATTTGTCCATTGCCACATCTTGTTACAAATTCTACATTTGAGGTTGTACTTCTAGCTGTCCACATTAATGCTGTATTTTTATGGTGTGTTTGCAGTGGAACATGTGGCTGACATTGTAACTGAGCTCCCTCCAGAAGAGCTCGCCCTGCCTCCACCTGCAGAGGAGAGGATTATGGATTTGGTTTTAGGAAAGATGCCTAGCACCACAAATAGCATCAGCTCAGTGACAAAGTAAGTGTTCTGGGATGCACGGTTTCCTCTTGGGTTTAATTAAGATTATGTAGCATGTAGCAGCTCTGCTAGACTTCTGGGCCCACAGATGCTCTTTTTTATCAGCATAAAATTGTGTGATGCTGCTGCTGCTGCTGCTGCCGCTACAAGAGCTGATTTTTGAGTGCCACAAAGATTGGCCTGTGCACTGGAAGATGGTGTGATATTGGTGGTAGAATTTTGGAACATAAACGAGAATTTCATTTTCCATCACAGTGCTGCTTTTATTCAGTGTGATTCCAAAAGCCTCCTGCAGCTGCAAGGTGAAATATTACTCCCATTGAATGTTGGTGATAAGACAGGCAAAGAAATTTTTGCTAAAAAAACCAATTTGCTAACTGTTATTATTATTATTCAGTCTTGCTTGTCATCTTAACTCATGAATGACTTCATGTTGGTTTTGTGTGATACTTCAGATTTAGAGCAGTGGGAGGGGAAAACTTAGGTATAACAGAACCTCAGGGAGACTCTTAAGTATCGTTTGATTAATCTGGATTCTTTTGTGTCTTTTTGTCTTAGTAAAATTGGCCTCTTGAATTAATTTTTTTTTTATAATAAAGCACTCGTTTTTTCAAAATTAGCTAGTAATGCTGTATATTAAAGTTCTTAGCAGACACAGAAAATGCATTTCAGAGTGTGGTTGTGCTGGGAAATAGCACAGTGCTGCCTGGCAATGCCTTTTGCCTGGGTACTGCCAAGGTTTCCAAGCTGAAATAGCGCTGATGTTTTCAGAGGGTGAGCAGAACAGATCCTTGCTGTTCCTCTGAGGGGGCCTGCAAAGAGAATCTGCTGCTGCTTTTTGCCTTGTTCGTGCTGGGTGAAGATAATTTGGAATGAGACACACTCTGGCATCTGCTGCTTCCAGGGGGTGGCCGGGGGGGGCACCTTGGCATTGAGGAAGCTCCATCCAGGCTCCCTCCCTCCCTCTCTCCTGCCAGGAGCTGAGCATTAACACTCCTCCAGCTTCTGCCAGCTGGTGGAACTCTCTTGCAACCTGTGGGATACCTTTCAGTCCCTGCCTTTTTCTCTGATCCAGTAGGTTTGCTCATCACCAAAACACCATGTCCCTCAAAAGAAGTTTAATTCTCTCTAGTAGACACAGGATACGGCGGAAGCTGATAAAGCAGCTTGGGGAGCACAAGCGGGTCTATCAGTGCAGTATCTGCAGTAAGATCTTCCAGAACAGCAGCAACCTCAGCAGGCACATCCGTTCTCATGGTGGGTTTGCTCTTCACCTCACTTGGGGATTCATTTTGTCTCTTGTTGCTTCCACCTTTGAGTAAAATAGCTGGGATATTTTATATATTGGGATACGTAGCTATAAGAGAGCTATTTTTCCTTTTTTCTTTCTCTTAACTCTCTCTAGGAAACTCTTTTAGTTATGCAGACCAAAGCATGAGAAGGTAACAGCTGAAAGTTGAAGCCAGAGTATTTAAAATTTGAATTGAGTACATCTTTTAAGTAAGGGCAAGGATGCACTGTTTATTCCAAAACTATTCTTGCCTTAAAGTGTATACATATATATATATCACCCCCACCTTCACAGACATATGGGTAACATAGCTGTGTAAATGTCAGCTGAGTGCTATTTAGCTTGTGATCTGCAGTTCCAGGGGTCTGTGTCCTATTCTAAGGGTTCCTTGAAAAATAGTCACCGAAAAAGGGTGGGGGAGCTTAACAAAATCGTTGGAAATGGTTAAAATCCACTATTTAGATCTCCTGAATTACTGTTTTTCATCACTAGCCTGTTTGTTTGCAGTTTGCTTGTGCTTTGGTTTCTCCTGTCTTGCTTGGAGATGGTTATAATCAATCACTGAGTACTGTCCTTTTATCTTGGTTGATCCCCTCAGGTGACAAACTATTTAAATGTGAGGAATGTGCAAAGCTGTTCAGCAGGAAGGAGAGCTTGAAGCAGCACGTTTCATACAAGCACAGCAGAAACGAAGTGAGTGGAAATGACTCTGGAAATGACTCTTGGGCTCTTGCTGAGGTTGGGTGGGAAGGTACAGTGATATTCCAGGTGCCAGCTGGGCAGCTTGGGGCAGTTCCATGTGAGCAGGGATCCCATGGGAGTGAGACAAGACTGATAGGGGAGAGGTAACATCTTCTGTTTGATGAATTTGCAAAGTGTGGACGTGCTTTTGAGCACGTACAAACCCTTTTCCATATCCGAATTTCATATAGAAAGTTGCTTCCAGGCATCAGTTACAGCAAGACAAGCTGGAGTTAGCTAGACCTGGATGCAACAGAGGTGAGATCTGACTTGAATTTATGGTACTAAATAGGACTGTTCCAGTCTTGTTTGCCTGTGTTTTTCATTTATCACCACCTGTAGTGTCATTTAATGTGTGAGCTGTGGGCAGAGAGTGTGAACTCTGCCTGTTGGTGAGGGCCTTTTGGTGCTGCTGCCATAGGAATATTAGTAACACACCTATAGTGGCACCTTATTAGTGAATATTCCCTTTTCTGCTTGGCATCAAGGTCCTTAGCTCTCAGATTGCTACCATCTGTTCTGGAGGATGAGTCAGATCACATCTTATTTCCCAAACATTCTGTCTCTGTGTTGGCCTGGGGGGTTATCAGGAAGGCTGTGACATGAACATAGTAGCTATATGGCCTTTTTTTTTTTTAATAGCTCAGATGTAGGAACATGGCAGGATGACACAGCATCAGAATTTTGCATTAGTGTGTATTTAAATGTCCTCTTGAAGGAATAAAAATTGGAAAAGACAGAAAGCTGAAAAAGTAGTTGAGATTTAGAATTTCTCTGTCAGACATGACTTGGCTTTTTCCCCAACTTATACTCTTCCTGTTTGCAATCCTCAGGTTGACAGTGAGTACAGGTACAAATGCACCACGTGTGAAAAGGCCTTTCGGGTAGAGAGTGCACTGGAATTCCATAACTGCAGGACAGGTGAGAATGGATAACTGTTCCACTTCTTCTGGCATCTCTACTCCATTTTGGGGAGATGTGCACAAATCCATCTCAGCATAGAAACTACAGAAGGGCAGTAGGAATTTAGTTTTTTATCACCATCATCACAAGAAACAAACTTTCCTGTTTCCCTCAAAAAAAAAAAAAAAGGTTTTTTGATAAGAAAAGTGTAACCAATAATCTGTAGAGCAACATGTGCAGTTAGGTACTGCTTTGTTTAGTATCTCCTGCTCACCTGTCTAATACCCTCACTGGTATTTTATTTGTATGTTCACACATAACCTGTCACCATCTCTGTTTGATTTTCTTTCCTGAAACTAAGTTCCACCTCATTTCTCTGAAACAGAGGAACTGGAAAGGGGATCAGTACTAGTGATAGTTGTAGTTTTCTGGAATCTCAGTTTTATTCAGCTTTTTCACATTTTATACTTGCAATAGTGTCTCTTAATGTCACTAGAACCTGTCCTTTTCTCCCATAGCCATCCCTTGTGATTACTCATATTATTTATGCTGGGTGATCCTATGCTTAAAAAATGACATCCTGGTTTACTTTTGTGCACCCACTATAACTGTCAGTCCAGAATCCCCCAGGTACTGCCCCTTAGAGCACCATTCAAAGCAGGGTTTCTCATTTCCTTTCAGAGGCTGCAGCTTGTATAAAACCTCAGCCTCGTGCAGAATGGAAAGTAGTGCCAAGTAACCTCAGTATTGTGTTTATTCAAGGACAGCAGCTCATTTTCCCTCTGAGCTGACCAATACAAGCAGCAGTTTTTCATAGAATAGAATCACAGAATCATTAAGGCTGGAAAAGACCTCCAAGATCATCAAGTCAAACCTTTGACTGAAAAGGTCAAAGTTTTCTCTGTTCTTCAGGGCATCAAATTTTAACTTCTTTGGGATTGTTGCAGCACTGACAGAGTCCCTCTACAGGACCATGTTTTCGTGTTGCAAGAACAGTCTCAAATACTGACTACAGAACAAATTCCCCATAGGCCTATTGTCGTGTGATGGTACATTTTTGAGGTTTTATACTTTATTCTGGAGTATTCTGTACTGGCTGGTGTCAGGAGCCAATGCTGGCAGAAATATTCTGGTGCTTAGACGCAACTGTGATGCTCTGTTGCTCTGTTTAGTGATTGTACCAACACTAAATATTCGAATCAGTTGTAACAGAATCCACTCCAAAACTTTATTTTAGTGTATGCTAGACCACAGTGGAAATATCCCATGTGAGGAAGTTAAAATGCTAGATTCCACGTTCAGGTTAGCATCATATATATTTATTACCTTTGAAAAAAAAATAAATTTAAAGAAACACACATGCTTTTGCATTTCCCTCCTCAACCCATGCAATGATGAACAAAAGAACTACCTGCCTCAGAAGCATACAAAGCCTCTGTCCATCTATAAAGAGCTCTGCATGGTTTCTTTTGCTTACAGATGACAAGACTTTCCAGTGTGAGATGTGTTTCAGATTCTTTTCTACAAACAGCAACCTTTCAAAACACAAGAAAAAGCACGGGGATAAGAAGTTTGCATGTGAAATCTGCAATAAGATGTTCTACAGGAGGGATATCATGCTAGACCATCAAAGAAGACACTTGGGAGGTAAGTTTACTGCAGATCAACCTAATTATTACTCTCAAAAAGCAGTAGAGGTGAGAAAGTTAGGGAAATGATTGTGTGCATTAGATTCTTCTGAATGGTAGCTTTTTATTTTATTGTCAGTTACCTGATCCAGAGTAGCAAGTTTCAGCAAAATGTGACATTTATTAAAAATAATAGTCATGGATCCTGCAGGGGAGTTGTCTAATTCTGTGAAAAACTTTCTAGGAGATGCACCTGCCTTTTTTTTCAGCCTCATGTGATTGAATCCAGTGCTACTAACAGTCATGTGAAAGCTGCTTGGCTTGTTAAGCAGTAGTTTAGACTAGCTGATTTTAATTATGATTTGAATTCTGTTTGAATTTTTTAAAAAATCGTGTGGTAACTCGAAAATCTGAAAGCAGAGAATTAACTTGCCATGTACAACTGGAAGTGGCTACTGTATAAATATAGTATCAATGGGATGCCGTGGGATGTTATCTTTCAAACACTTGAGAATATATGAGAATGAGATTATGAGAGTTTACTGTTCAGAATCTCAAGCATCTAAGGATGTTATAGGTACTGAAAGACTGGAAAAACTTCATAGGTTGCTAAATATGTATTAAAATGCCTTTGTTTGTTAAAACCAAAGGTGATTTAAAACGAACAGCCAGATTGTCTAATTTTGTGTTTGGGGCATAGCTGATTGTCACTGGCTCTTTTTGTGATTCAGACCTTTTGTCATGAACCAGAGGAGAGCCAGAGGACAAGGGGCTGAATGGCAATGGCCAAGTGTCTCATATTGAGCTGTCACAGAAGAGCTGGAGCCCTCTGTCCTCTTAAAAGGAGCAGGGAAAGAGGTCTGAAATCCTCACTGAGCATTAAAGCTGATGCTGAATTGTTGCCTCTCTTCTTAGAGACTCTCCCTCCTCTCCCTCTTCTTAGTGAAAATGTTTGATTGAAGTACCAAGGCCTACTAGATCTGCCTGTTTCCTGGTGTTGACAACAAATGTCTGTTTTCAGACACTTTACAGTTGGTGTAATAACCAATAAGCCATAGCACATCACTTTGGGAGACTGCTTTTATATTCTTAAGACACTGTTTTAATTTAGAAATCACCCTTTTGTTATCAATTAAATCCTGCATCGAGGGCCTCCCCAGTGTTTCACTCTTCTCCCCAGTACTCCCCTGAGAGGGCATGCAGACTGGAGTGGAAAACCATGGTTTATTTTTTTGTTTTGTTTTTTTGATGGGGACTGTTCTGTGAAGGGGTGAGGCGTGTGAAAAGAGAAGACTTTGAGCACAGCACGGAGAACATGGTTCGCTACAAGAAGGAGCCTTCGGGATGCCCCGTGTGTGGGAAGGTGGGTGTGTGTGGCCAGGTCTGCACTGTAGCCCCAAAGATACCACAGTTTAGTCTAGAGAAGAGAAGGCTGAGGGGGGATTTCATCAATACATACAGATATCTCCAAGGTGGGTGTCAGAGGATGGTGCCAGACTCTCTTCGGTGATAGGACGAGGAGCAGCGGCCGTAAATTAAAACACAAGAAGTTCCACCTCAACATGAGGAAGAACTTCTTTCCACTGAGGGTGGCAGAGCACTGGAACAGCCTGCCCAGGGAGGTTGTGGAGTCCAGTCAAGACATTGCTCTTTAAACAGCCGTAGCTCCATTGTATCCAAGCCCACTGTGATGGTGGGAGCTGTTAGGACAAAGAAAAGAACAAAACTAAAGTTCAGGCAAGACCTTTTTTCAGGACATGCAGCACAACGTGGAGTGTCACACATGGCCCCTGTGTGTGTCAGTGAAATCTCATGGCTTAGGTTATTTAAAGTGGAGTTTTTCTGCCAGAATGTAAACAGCTGGAGTTGACCGCGTGCATTGGGAATCATTTTCCACTAGGAATCAAAGTGAACTCATAGCATAATAATGGCATTGTTGCATTTGGGTGTTTTAGCACTCATGATCTTAAGTTGCTGTTATCACAGAGAGTGTGGGTTTAACTAGTGATTTTATAAATGGTTAATGATTCATGGTGTAAAATGTACCTGAGCAGCTCTTAAGCTGGTGTGTAGACCTCTGGATTTGATGCTTTGGATGTGTTACATATCAATCAAGGCAGATTTTGTGCATATATCTTTTTGTAGACAGGTGGAACATTCATGATTCAAAAGACACTCTAAATATTTCTAATTCTACCCTATGTAGTTCTGCCGCAGCTTTTTTGGAAGTCCATCTCTGATGAATGGCCAGTTTCAGTCAGTTCCTTGGAGCTTTGCCCCTGGATTTTGCCATGCCAGCAGTTTCTAAGGTAGCCTGCTGGCTGGCTAACAGGAGATCCTACATGTTTCTGGCCAGAATGAATCAAAAAGACAGTAAATATATTCTGTGCTCTTCATTGGATAAATTACAAAGAACTGCTGGACATGGTCCAAAACCCCTTCATCCCTTCCTTCCTTCTTTGCTTTTAGGTATTTTCATGTAGGAGCAACATGAACAAACACCTTCTAACACATGGAGACAAGAAGTACACTTGTGAAATCTGTGGACGTAAATTTTTCAGGGTGGATGTGTTGAGAGATCATATTCATGTCCATTTTAAGGTATTGTGTTAATATTTAATTAGAAGAGGCAGATTGTTCTGACATAACTAGGTTATCACTGAATTGTAAGGGATTGAATGGAAGGGGAATTGTATCACTCAGTGGTTGTCATAAAGATCCTTTTATAGATGTAATGCTGTACCAGTTGAGTCTCTTTACATTAAAGTTCCCTTTATACACACAAAAAATTAATACTATTTGTTTGAATAAAAAAATTAATTAAGTTATTTGTTGTGTAGTCATGGACAGAGGAACTTTGTTGACCTGGATTGAATGAAGCAGGAGGATATTTTAAATAAATAATATTACAGCAATTGTTAATGCAAGGCAGTCTTCATGGCAACAAAAGGTCAACAGGTCTTTACCTTTTGAAGAATAAGTTCAATCTATTAAAACAAAATGTTCTTTCCCACTCTGCACAGGACATAGCCCTCATGGATGATCACCAGAGAGAAGCATTCATTGGTAAAATTGGAATCTCATCAGAGGAAAATGATGACAACTCTGATGAAAGTGCAGATTCTGAGCCTCACAAGTATAGCTGCAAAAGGTGCCAGGTAGCTTTAAATACTTTCAAATTAACTTGTTTTGGGATGGGGATGGGAGAGTGGCGATGTCTGTAAATCATTCAGAATTTTAAATAACATTATGGGTTTTCAAAGAGAGGGCCGGTCCACAGGTCTGCAGTGCTTGTTACCTCTAATCTGTGAAGTGATGTTATTCCATAAGATTTTGAGTGGTGTTCTGTAAGGTGAATGCTAAACACTTACAAAGAGAAATACAGATATATTCGCTTACCCGTGGAAGGAAACAAGCAAAACCGGAGGAAGAATCACTAAAGGAACATTCAAATCAATAAGGAACATTCAGATCTTATACCACCTTTTGATTATGTGCCAACTAAAATCATTACAGCATTTCTGAATGATACAGTCCACAAATTGATTTTGCTGAGATCAGATGGTCCTCTGGTGGATATCCAATTTGGAGGATTAAGACTGCTGCTTATGTTCAGCATGGCTGCTTATTCTTGGGCTGCTCTGTGACTAACAGGATGGTGTTGGGAGTACTGCTGGAATGTAGTTTACTCAGTAAATTGGCCAAACTGACATAGGGACAGGGGAGTTTTGGTGGTTAAGCCACTGACGACCCCTGGAAATCAGAGCTTATTTCACAGCGCCCACTTAATTTTGGTGAAAGTTCTTACCTTATCTTCATTTTATAACCTGGAGATGATAATCCTTGAGTTTTCTGTTCTTATCTGTGAACTGGTGTAAAGTGAAAACTGATTTGAAGCTTATGCCAGTAAACATCAGAAGGTGTGGTATCACAGCAGTTAATCACATGGCTGCTTTCAGTGTGCTAATTTTCCTGTCTGACACTTCATGGGTACATAAACTGCATAAAATTGTGTGCTCCCAAGTGAGGGCAATTGGGCCATTTAGATCAGAAGGCTCTTTTTGGAAGCTGGGGTGTTTTTAGTACTTTTACAGGTGTTTGTGAAATAAAGAGTTGTGTAAGGGAGCAGCTGTGGAAAGTGAGATTTGCTGTGAGGAGATGGGGAGGCTCTTCTGGGAAACTGAACAGCCAAAGGGAAAACAACAAACAAATGAGTCTTGGTGAAATCCCTCTTCTGAGCTCTTCAAAATCTCTCTGTGTTTTCTCTCATCCCAAAGTACACCTTCACCAAGCTGTGCAGTGCTGTCAGAAATACCCTGACTAATTCCAAAGTTGGAGCAAAAGATCATGTCATTATGGCACTTTGCCCTGATGTTCTGGAGCATGTCTGGACATGCTGGATCATTTTGGATATGCAGGGTTACTTAGCCCAGGGAGCTCAGTAGTGGAGCTGCTGTCTGGCACAGCTTTAGCACTTCCAGGAGCTGAGCTGGAGTCACTGCCCTGCAATGCCTAGAAATTCCAACTCTTCTGAAGCCAGTGCCAAAGCTGACTGTGCAGACTAGAGCTTGCCATGCCCTTAGAGCCCAGCAGACATTTCTTCCACCTGTGGCACCCTCACTTTGACAGCTGCTGGAGGTTAAACATGGCTCTCTTCAAGGCTGTTCCTCAGTGCACGAATAATTTGGGGTCCTCTTCTTGTGCAGTCTAAGAAGTGGAGACACCACCTCAAGCAGGTTTTCCAAACAAACTGATGTCCTGTAGCAGCGTCCTTGTAATGGCCAAAGGAGTTCAGGCCTAAATCCAGCTTTCACGGGTTTTTCATGTAGTGATACACAGGGTATTGAAGTGATACACAGGATATTGAAGTGATACACAGGATATTGAAGTGATACACAGGGTATTTAAGTGATACACAGGGTATTGAAGTGATACACAGGGTATTGAAGTGATACACAGGGTATTCACATCAACTCACGCCACCTCGAGATCCTGGCAGTGCACTCCCAGCTCGTTGCTGTGCCTGAGGACTTTTTCCCCCTTTCATTCACTATTGTTTCATTCCCCAGCTGACTTTTGGCAGAGGGAAGGAGTACCTGAAGCACATCATGGACGTGCACAAGGAGAAGGGCTACGGCTGCAGCATCTGCAACCGGCGCTTCGCCCTGAAGGCGACGTACCACGCACACATGGTCATCCACCGGGAGAACCTGCCTGACCCCAAGGTGCAGAAGTAAGACATGTGGCACTGATAAGAGGAACCATCTTCTTGGAGTGACAGTGGCTCTGCCCCCTGGTGCTTTTAGAGAACCAGTGACAAGGACCCGAGGGAATGGCCTGAAGTTGTGTCAGGGGAGGGTCAGGTTGGATCTCAGGGAAAGGTTCTTCCCCCAGAGAGTGGTTGGGCACTGAACAGGCTCCCCGGGGCAGTGGGCACAGCACCAAGGCTGCCAGAGCTCCAGGAGGGTTTGGATGATCCTCTGGGGCACATGGTGTGACTCTGGGGATGCTCCTGTGCAGGGCTAAGGGTTGGACTCGATAATCCTTGTGGGTCCCTTCCAGCTCAACATAGTCTGTGATTCTGTGTAATTGGGCTGTACTAAAATATCTGAAACAGTATAAGGGCTGTTAAAATGTTTATTAAAAGCTTGAGGTAAATATCACTGATGATTGACTTCACACAGATGATTAGTCAACAGCCTCGTAGTTTGGGCTTTGCAAATTACAAATCAATTATTTTAATAAATTTTTTTTTAAACTACTTTTTGAGTTAATAGCAATGCCAGGCTGCTCCAAGCTTGCAGTCAACTTACAGGTTTCTTAAGGTTCATTTTAAAAAAATTAAGCTTCAAGGAACTTTTATAATAATTAGTATTAGCAAATGAAATACAATTATTGACAGAGATGCCTGAAAATCACTTCTGTCTCAAGAAAAGAATCGCAGTTTTTGGTCTCTTTGGTTTCAGATACATCCACCCATGTGAAATCTGTGGAAGGATTTTTAACAGTATAGGAAATCTGGAAAGACATAAGCTTATACATACAGGTAAAAATGTTGTGTTTCTTTATAATTATCAATACAAAAAAAGAAATTTCTATTGTCAGTGCCTGCCTTTTGTTTGTTTTTTTTTTGGCTGGAGGAAAAAAGTTATGGGTTCTTACTGTAAGATACAATCAGATAAATGTAATATTTTTGCTTTTAGGGTAGACTGGTTTTCTAAAGCAGGTAATATTAATGAAATTTGATCTGGGCACACAATCCAAATTCCTAGATAATATGATGTTGCAGGATTCACCTAATTCTGTGTTCTGTACTTCCCCAGATTCTTATCCATGCCACCTTCTTGCCATTACACAGGCTGAAAACTGCTACTGCAAAATCATTTTCAACAGCTCATTACTATTTCATGCTACTCAGTATTTTCCTGCCTCAGGCTTTACCTCTTTTTTTTACAGATCTCACACAAAAAAACAGCTTTTCTCTCTCTCCAAAGTCTGCTAATTTAGTTTGGGCTACAATATGCATGAAAGGTGTGGTTGACAGCACAGGGGGGGCTGTTGCCCTCTTTAAGTCACCACTTTAGTCAATTTTTAGGAGATGCACATTTTTCATTAACATTTTTTTTTTGTTTATGTTGTCTTTTAAATTTATTTTTAAGGTGTAAAAAGTCATGCTTGTGAGCAATGTGGCAAATCATTTGCTAGGAAAGACATGTTAAAAGAACATATGCGAGTCCATGATAATATCCGAGAATACTTGTGTGCAGAGTGTGGCAAAGGTATGTCTGATGCCTTGTTTTCCATTAATTGTGATACTGAATAGCAGGTGAATATCTGAATTAAGACTTCTTCCATTCTTAGAGTATTTGGGAAGGTCTGGGAGTGCTGTAAATCCTGCATTTTTTGAGAGGTAGTAACTGTATGAATCAGGAGCCTTAGGGTTACATAAACTACCCCCAATTTTATAGTTTTGTTTTATGGCCTGTAAGAAAACACTGATTTTTATAACATGCCTGACTAGGTTCTAATGCATTTGCAGCACAAAAGTGAATGCAAGTTGATTTTTCTTTTTAATTATATGCTTGTTTTCAGGCTTAAGAAATAGAATAATTTCTCTCTGTAAGAGCCTTAAATGTCAAAGTTGCTTTGACTTTTTTAATTGTTTGTGTTACAACTTGGACAAATCTGAACTGGTGTTTTAGTGGCAGGCAGTAGTAAGTCTGACACCTCTAATGATGCTTTGTCTTTGCTTGTCCCTGCTCTTTTGCTTCTTCCTCAGTGGTTACTCAGATGTTTTCCAGAGCTTTTTCCTGGAATTAAAATAATAATGATAATGTGCATTGCTACATAAACAATTAAAAATATGCAGTTGTGGACTCGTGGCAAATATAAGCTTAGAGCTCTTGGGTAACAACATGATCATCCTGAGTTCTCTGAAGGTTGGAGCAGTGGAGTAACTGTCTTGCTGCACCTTTTGTCTCGCAGGAATGAAGACAAAACATGCACTTCGTCACCACATGAAACTTCACAAAGGGATTAAGGAATATGAGTGCAAGGAATGCCACCGAAAATTTGCACAGAAGGTCAATATGCTGAAGCATTACAAAAGACACACAGGTGAGGGCTCTAAAAGTGGCACTTAATCAGTTGAATGCTTCCCAGTAGAGAACCCTTACCTAGAACAGTCAGAGAGTATGAGGAAAACTAATAAAATACGTATTTTCTGCCTTTTGAAAAGTGAGATTTTGTCCTCTTCTCAGCTGAGATCACCTGTTCTACAACTGGAGAGATACAGCTTAGTTGGTTTCAAGTTTTGGTTTTTTTTTGAAAGTGGTTGTTTTGGTCTAGGGTAGGTCCAGAGCGTTGGCTTTGTTTTAAGTTAGTCTTCAGGTTCTCATTTCCCAACATTTTACCTCCCACATCGGTTTCCCTTGGATTTATTTTCTGCTGGATATGGTGCCATGGATGAAAGTAGGTGGTGAAGCTGGGCTTCTTCTACTGGTTTGACTGTGGTTTTTATGTTTTTTTAATGTTAGTAATGTGAGACTCTGGATTGTCCCAGATGCCTTAGGCTCCTTTGACAGATGCTAAATGTGCTCTTCCTGCAGGAATCAAAGATTTCATGTGTGAGCTCTGTGGGAAGACGTTTAGTGAGAGAAACACAATGGAGACTCACAAGCTGATTCATACAGGTAAACCCTCTAAAAAACAGTATCCAGCAACACCTTTATTCTGTTCCTAGGCTTGCTTTAGTCTTGCCAGTCTTGGAACTGGTGTTGCATATCCTGTTACCAGACACAAAAAATTGTTCCTCTTGTTGAGGTGTTGACATTACGATACTCATCTGTTGGGTTTCCTTCCATCTGCCACCAGTAGGAAAACAGTGGACATGTTCAGTGTGTGATAAGAAGTATGTCACTGATTACATGCTACAGAAGCACATCCAGCTCACTCATGATAAGGTGGAAGCCCAGAGCTGTCAACTGTGTGGGACAAAGGTTTCTACCAGAGCCTCCATGAGTCGGCACATGAGGCGTAAACATCCAGAAGTGAGTTAGTTTGGACTGTGGGGTGGTTTGGTTTGGTTTGGTTTTTTTTTTTTTTTTAGGAAAGTTTATGGCCTTCAGCGACTTGAATTACTTTTTTTCCCTTTCTGTTTTTCCCTGCTTTTTTGGAGCCAGTTTTAGGTAGTGTCTGTGAAACATGCACTTAACTGAATCAGCCATTTAACTGCATTACATGTTTTAGTAGTAAACAGATCTGATTGCCAGTCCCTAAAAATGAAGTTCTTCTGCTTATTGAAACCACTTTTCTTTCTCTGCCTCAGCTTAAATGTGTGTTTTTTCATGTTTTGTCTTCATCAATTAGTGAGTGTAATGGATTCTTTTTCCCCCATTGTGTTCCCTGTGTTCAGAAGTGATCTGAAAGAAGTGGTGAATAGAGAGGTGGTGGCGGCATCTGCTGATGATACAAAATTATTCTCAGCATTAAAGATGAATGCTGACTGGAGAGAATCTGGATTAGAGGGATGTTTTGTCTGACCCCAACGGGGTTTTTTCTATGTTCTAATTTTCTGAATAGCTGCTGTGTTTCTCTTCAGCATTCCTTGTTTAGTTTTGACTGAGGCTTGTCCATTCCCTTTGAGGCTTTTTTTTTTTGACTACCACTTTATCATTATTGTTGCTTTGCTGTTTTATCATGATGACTGTGAAGGAAGTCAACAAAGTGCTCTATTTATTGATTTGGGTATTAAAAATGCTCTATTCTTTGATGAGCTGAGATGTAGAGATTCAGCTTAAAATAATGAAGTAGGACACAGTATTTTTTTCCAAACACGTTGTTTTCTATATAATTCATCACTTCCCAGTGGGTTCTGTTCTGTCTAGAATGTGAAAATAAACATATTCTTCTATTGGTGTCTTTAAACTTTGCTGGTTTTCAGTGAGAATGAGAAGACTTTATGCCAAAAGGTTATTTAGAAAAAAACCATGGTTAACTCCTTCATATTAAATGATACATGTAAAATGTTAGATTACATCATTTTGGCTTTGTGACAGGATTTATTAGGGAGATGCTGTATTGACTGCAGCTCACCAGCTGATACCTCTTTGTCTACAGATCCTTTCAGTGAGGATTGATGATTTAGAGCAGCTGCCAGAGACAACTACCATTGATGCCTCTTCGATTGGGATTGTTCAGGTAAGTTCCAGGCCCACTGGAGGGTGAGGTGGGGACATTTTTGGTACATAACATAGCTGAGCACAGGCTGTGGGTGAGGAATGTGCTTTTTCAGAGCCAGCCCCAGAGTAACATGTCCAAGCAGCTGCAGGTTCTTGATCTGTTTGGTTGTGTAACGAGGGTGCTGGTAAAACAGAAATAATTACAGGGTGAAGTCTCATTCCCCAAAATCAGGTTTTTCTAAGGTTTATTTCTTCGCTGGAGAACTGACAGTAAAACAGCTTCAGGTGATAGGCTCTCACTTGGAACTTCATTAAGCAAAAGGACTTGATGTTTTGTTTATAACTGTGTTGCTCCAGCCGGAATTAGCCTTGGAACAGGGCGAATTACCAGAAGGGAAACAGCACATAAAAGCTCCTAAACGTGGCCAGAAACGAAAACAAAAGTCGGGTGAGGAGGAGGAAGCTCAAGTGCCTGAGGACCCTGCCTTCAGTGAATACACAGAGAAGGAAGGTGAATTCACAGGGAATGTTGGAGATGAGACTAATTCAGCTGTACAGAGCATCCAGCAGGTGAGCTCCAGGAGCAGGGTGCTGAGTTGCAGGCATTGCTTAGAGGGATAACCCTTTGTTTTTGGCTAATTGCAAACACAAGAGCGTGATTGGAACATCTGGAGCTGATTTGATAAACAGTGGTAATACAAAGATGGATAGAGACGTTAAAAAAACAAGGAGTTGGACCAGTAAGCTCCTTATGTTTGTTTTCATTTCCTTTGGTGTTACCATCTCCTTGTTTGCCAGGTACCACTAGCTGGCTGATTAAAAAATGAGATTAAAAGCAGGAAACTTAATGTGGCTGGTTGTTTTGAATATTGCCTATCCCCCTCTCCCATTACCATCGTACTGCTATATGTGGAAGTTGTTATAGTCCAAGTTTTCTGCACGTGGAAGCTGTTATATTCCAAGTTTTCTATGTTCCCCTCTGCGTGTGACTTCTTCTGCTGGCAGTAGCAACATGTGAGCCCATCAGGTGGTCTTCCTTGACGATATTTGATAGTCATGTGCAAGGTCTAAGGTTGTGTCGCAGTTTGAGACCCTCAAAAATCCAATTTCTAAGTTCAAGCCCCTCTCCCACAATTTGCTTCAGTGTGAGACGGTTTTCAGGCAAAACACAACTACTCAGCATTGGGGGAAGGGGAAAATACTTACAAGGTTTATTTACATACATATATATATATATATAGGTAACAACTGTCTTTTTTTTACAATGAAATAATATATTTACATTAGATTAAATTTCTCTTTTTCTTCAACAAGAGTCCAGGAAGAAAAGAGAAAAGCCCTTTTGTCACTTTTCAGGTCACAGTTCCTTCAAATTAGTTTCTGTGGTATTGGTTACTGTCCTTTATTTTTAAGGCAGCAGATTTGAGTATTGCAGTCAGAATCTTTCTGTTCTTACTTTGTGAAAATCCCAATCCCTCGAGCCCAAGCCTTCGGGGGACTTCCTTAGAGACTTACACTCCTCTCTTGTGCTGCTGCATTTTGGAACTCCCTTCAGATGGGTTGAGGTCACCTTTGTGTTTCCCCTCAGGTGGTGGTGACCCTCGGCGACCCAAACGTCACGGCCCCTTCCAGCTCTGTGGGGCTCACAAACATCACCGTCACTCCCATCACAACAGCAGCTGGGACCCAGTTCACAAACCTCCAGCCAGTGGCCGTGGGCCACCTGACTGCCCCGGAGCGCCAGCTGCAGCTGGACAACTCCATCCTCACCGTCACCTTCGACACCGTCAGCGGCTCCGCGATGCTGCACAACCGCCAGAACGACGTTCAGATCCAGCCCCAGCCAGAGGCGACCAACCCCCAGTCCGTGGCCCATTTTATAAACCTGACCACCCTGGTGAACTCCATTGCTCCTCTGGGGAACCAGATTTCGGAACAGCACCCCCTGACCTGGAGGTCAGTGCCTCAGACTGATGTCCTGCAGCCCCAGGCGCCGGCGACGCAACAGCAGCCGGGGCAGCAGCCGGTTCAGACAGAGCAGCAGCAGCAGATGTACAGCTACTAATTTATAACTTTGGGAAGTTTTGAAATGGACTGTACTCAGAGACAAAAAAAAAAAAAAAAAAAAAAAAAAAAAAAACAAAACATTGGAAAATTTCTAATAGGATTGTTTGCTGGATACCAAACAGAGACGGGAAAATGTTTATACAGTGAGGTGTGAGGTAAAATTGGCGTAGCAGCACCCTGCAGCACCCTGATCTGAGATTCTCATGCTGTCTGTAGACCTTGCACTGTCTTAACAAAACAAAAAAGGAAAAAAAAAATCTCACCACAAATTCAGCATCCCCTTGCACTCGTGCAGTAAGATTGAGATTTGACAGGTGTCAAATCATCATACACCTTAACCAAAGCAGGGAAATCCTAAATGTTACGGCACTTGTGATGTACAAAACCCTTTCAGCCATACCATGTCACTTCTCTGCAGTCTGGAAGTGAAATGTGAAGACCTTGTTCACAGTGAGTGGAATGTACTTGTGGTCAGCTGGTAGAGACTGAAACGTGAAGACACAAATGGGCAAAACAATAATTGTCTTTGTTTCTTATTTTCTTTAGGTCTTGTATCTTAACAACACTGGTAAACTAGGTGGAATTTGGGGCTTTGGGGTGGGCATGAGTGTGGTGTGGAAGAAAATATACCCATTTTACAAAGTATTTCCATTTTAGTCATGGGAAAAACCCTGTACCCGTCACACAGTGTTAGTGCTACTTGAATCAGATAGCTGGTCTGATGCTAAAGCAACTTTTGGGGTCTTCTAGTCAAGTTTGAATCAAACCAATTACAAACTGAAAAAAAAAAAAAAAAAGAATGTGATACAGTTTTATGTAATTTTTCAAACCTGCTCTTTCAATCTTGCTTTTAGCTAATAGGCCTGAAGAGCAATCAGTCCCCTTTGATCAAGTTCAGGATGTGAATTTTTTTCAATTCGACTTATTTCATCGTGTAATAAACATTTGAGAAAGCATTCTTTTTATATATATATACATATACATATATATATATATAGCCTTTGTACTTTACTGTGTGTTCCTGGTGAATATTTGTGTGAAAAACATTGTTGCCAATACGATTCATTGATTTTTTTCATCCCCATGTTGCCTTTTCTCACGGAAATAACGTATGGATTCTGTTCCTTCTGTTTCCAGAAGTATTTCCAAAATCCGTGGCCACACACAGGGTTGTGTGTCATGCAGGAAAAGGGAATGTCTGAAGCATTTTCTGTGTGCTGCCACATGGAGTCAGTGTGCCCCAGTGTATAACGGGCAAGGTTTGCATGACTGTTGGGGATACAAATAGTGGGTTGGGTCAAGGACATCTTTGCTGACACTTCACTCTCATTCCATTCTCCATACATTGATGTGCAGTCTGGACTTTAGCATGTCAAGAAGATAGTACTGTTCCCACAGGAAGAAAAAAGAAAAAAGAGCTGATAGCAAAAAGGAATAAACTAAAAAAAAAATAAATATATATAATATATAAAATATGTTGCTGCCTGGAATCCTGAAAGGCAAATCTGTCCTTCCAGCTGAAGAACAAGGTCCTTTGGGGCAGCAGACTGAGCCACAGAACCTTGCTGGGGATTCTTGCTGAGGATAAAGCAGCTGCTGTGTTTGACAGATGGATTGATGGTTGTAAAAATCCTGTCTGTGCCTGTCATAGTTATGAAAATGTTCCATGTATTAGCAAAAATACAAATAGGAATGACTTCAGCTTTGAAAGTCTCTATTAACATGGACTACTTGACCCCTAAAGGATGCCTTATGATCTCTGCAACAAATTCTTCCAAAGTATAAATGTCTGGATATTAAAATTAACCTCCAGTGGTTTTTCTGGTGCCATAGCAGTGTCCAGAGCCTTGCTATGCCAGGCTCTGTGTAAAGCTGCAGGACATGTGTAAGAAAGGGGTTTCTGGTGACAGATTTTGTGTGTCAGAGGAGCAGAACTACTTTTCTGTAAATGTCAAAAAGTCTACAAAATGTCTGCATGGGGGAGACCTGTATTTGATGGGACAAGGATACATATCAGAAAGAGAAAATACCTTTTAGTGGTGTGGGAAAGAGAATTTTTCATTCCCTACCCCGTTCTGTCTTCCTCAGATACTTTTCACACAATATCACGAGATGCTGTAATTTTTTAGACTCCCAATATCCCAAGAAGTAGACTTCTTGGATTATTTCACCACTGGCTTGAGCTAATTAAGTTTCTCCTCAGCTGTCTTGTCCACAGATGCTTCCCTTTCACACTAAACCTGGTGGGCAAGAGGAAGCCAGGTTTTATTTACAAAATATGCTGTTTATGTACTTGAAACTTCTTTTTTTCCCCCTGTGTTTGGTGCCTAATTGGTAAAGGCACGTTATCTTTTGGCAGGGTACTTTGGAGAGAGTTGGAAAAAAGGGAAGGCAGGCAAATGGAGAGGTCCTAGATCGAGCTGTTGTGGTAAATAAAAGATGGCTAACATCTAAAAAGATACATATATATATATATGTACACACAGATGGAGGGTTACAGTGCTGCATATAGAATTTCTACAACAAAGTTTTGTTTAAACATACGTAAATGGTGATTAAGGTTTTGACTGGGAAAAAAAAGAGGGGTTTTGCCCTAGCAGAATCCATCTGCTCCATGTTAATACTACTGACAGTAACACTTGATGCTGCACTGAATCAACCTGCATCATTTTAACACATCATTTCCTGTTTGATAAGAATTGCACATGGAGGTAATGGACCACTAGAGACCTCTCTGGCCTTACAAAGCCTCTTTACCCTGATGTGGTCCATTGTACTCTTCTGTGGTTCATTGTACTTTTGTGGGGCCTGGCCTGCCACCCACATTACCTGGCCTTCATGTTCCCACCCAGGCAGGTGGGATCTTGCCTTTCTGACAGGGATCGATTCCAGCTGATTTTAGAAGGAATGATCACACAGTGAGTGCTTGCAAGTTGGTGGGCACTTAGAAATATCCCTCATTAGTCTCTCAGTATCCTCAAAATCATAGAATTGGAAGGCACCTCAAAAGATGATGTGGTCCAGCCTTTTTTGGGGAGAGGGAGCTTGGATGAGGTTATAGATTCATGGAATCATCATTATCCAGCACCCTGTCCAATTGCATCTTTACAATCTCCAGTGACAGGGACTCCACCACATCCCTGGGGAGGTTGTTCCAGTGGATGGTTGTTCTTACTTAGAAATTAAATAATATTTTACTTCAGGAAGAAAAAATATAAGCACTGGAAGGGCTTTGGCTGTGTCAGGCAATAGAAAGTTCTCTGCAAGCTGATCTTCCCAGAGCACTCCTTTGAGACAGGAGGGTGACTTTCCCTGCAACCCTTGCTATGGTACCTCATCATCTCTCAGCATGACTTTATTATCACTACTGTTATTGGCATCCCTACGAGAACACAACTGTATCTTGGGTGTGCTGCACCACGAAAACATTTCAAAAAAACCTAATTTTTGTGTTTGCTTTTGTTTCAAATTATTTTGTTTGGAGAGGTTGGAAGTTGCTGCCTTTTCAGACACAGAGCTTACCTTGGACAAGCAAGTGACTCTTGTCCAGCTGCTCTCCCAGCCCAGTGTTTTTCAGGTGGATACCAAAATTGTACCGATGCTGTTTTCAAACTGCACAAGAGACAAAAGGGATGTTAAGGGATGTGCAATCCAAATTTCCTTTGCCCATTTTTTACCTGCCTCTTCAGCTGTAGGACCTGAAGGTTATTTGTTTTCAGCCACGGTGTTGGGAGATTTTTGCATAACAACTGTTCAGTCGAAAACTGGAATTACTTGGAGCCAAAGGAGTGATGTTGTGTAGTGTTCTGTGTATTGTCATTGTTTACTGCTGAGACTGTTTAATTGAATGCTGTCTGTGGCACACAGGCTCTGAAGTAAAAGAGCATCAAGGTACAGAACCCTTTCTCTACCAGTGTTATTCTTTCCTGTTCCTTCGTTAAGGTATCGAACATTTTTTTCTTCAAATCTGAAGAAATGTGGTTTTCTTCAGATCACATAGATTTGTATCAAAAGCAATGAGCTCAGTCATTATCTCACAGAACTTTATGGATCCCACAGTATTCTAAAATATTGATTCTAAAATATTGATTCTATAGCTTGTTACTGGGTAATAACAGAAAGCAGAGGAGATTGAGCCTTCCTTGGCTGTGCTATGTGGCGAGTTCTCTCAGGAAAAACAACTGTATAAAATGCTAATATGCTCTCTGAAAGTAATTCATTTTTTTTTTAGCTGTGTCACTATGAAAAGTGAGTCTTTTTGCACAAACCTACCAGTCAGTCTCCTGTCAGTCTAACCAGCTACATTTCTGTACCATTTTATTGTTTCAGACATTGTCTGAAGTTAACAGCCAGGAAACACTTGGATTTATTTCAAGAACTGAGTTTCCTGCCAGTTTGTCAGAGTGATTTGCTGGTGTTCTGCATGCATAAAGATGTCTCAGTTTCTCATCTTGAAAACTAGGAATGGAATAAATACCATACATCCAAAATGACAGTTATATGCAAACTATAGGTGCTACATGCAAATGCATGGGGTGAATAGCTTTGTTAGCATTGCTTTGGGAATTATTCAGCAATGAGATTTCCTTGGTGCTATTTAAAGTAATAGTAATAATGTCACTCCTCCTAAATCCTTTTGGCCTGACATTTATTACTGATGTGGGTGTACCTGTTGGGAAGTCTTTAAAACCTCGTATTTTTGGCTGCCTTTTCATGGTGGCTGTGATCTGGTGTAGAGGGAGAAGGAAAAATATGGGAGGAGGTACTGCTCATCCACACCACGATGCACAGTAAAGCTCTGCTTGGAAAGTGTTTTTTGGAGATGGGTTGCTGAGGTTTGTGTTCACATAGGGGCTTTTGCCCTATAGCACACCTGAAGTGTCATGGTGGCAGCAGGATAAAGGAAAAAAATTATTTCTGTCATGTTTTTTGTCAACTCAAGAGTGATTTTCTTCGGTGCTGAGATGCTGCTGTGTTGTTTGCACTGTGCATGGCAAGAAGCTGTTAAAATGTCTTGATGAAAAATGTTGGAACACTGTAGAAAGCCACAGGTACTTCACCATACAGTACCAGCATGATTGGAAAATATGTTTCTTGCCCTAGAATGCTTTGAGAAAGCTCTTCCGGATTTGTTTTCCCTCCTGGGTGCTGACAGGCTGTTCTGGATGTGTGCTGCTGCTGGGTCAATTCAGACAGGATTCAGCATATGCAGCCCCTGCAATGGAATCACAGAATGGTTTGGGTTGGAAGGGACCTTAAAGATCTTCCAGTCCCATCCCCTGCCATGGGCAAGGACACCTTCCACTAGCCCAAGTTGCTCTGAGCCCCATCCAACCTGGCCTTGGACACTTCAAGGGATGAGGCAGCCACAGCTTCTCTGGGCAACCTGGGCCAGGGCATCCCCACCCTCACAGGGAGGAATTTTTTCCTAATATCCAATCTAACTCTACTCTCTTTCAGTTTGAAGCCATCCCCCCTTGTCCTGTCACTACATATGAAGTGAAAGGGGCAATGAGGGTGAGACTTGTCCGGGGGACTTCAGTGTCCCCCCAGAGTCAGGATTTCATCATCATTTGCAGTGAAATGCTCTTGTCTTTCTGCCTTATCCATGAGCAGTGTTGACCAGTCACAGTGCCTGGTTAGTTGCTAACATTTCAGAAAAGCTCATTATTGGGTGCAATGGCTGCAGATCAGCTGATATCAAAAGCAACTAAAAATACCAACTTTGGGGATTTATTTCAACTAAAGCTAAGTTTTTCAGTTTTTTCTGTCATTGAGTGCTTTCCTGTACTGTTCTGTTTGCTTGCAGATTTTGATTTTAAGAAACTTTCAACGTGTCCTGGAAGTGTAGTAAAAAAGGCTAAAAAAAAAAAAGTGTAACAGTGGCAGAATGAGGAGTTAACATTAGGAGAAACTAATGGTGCTCATTTTCTACAGATTTCCACCCTTTTCCTGCCCACCTGAGCCTTAGGTTCTTGTTGTGGTGGTATCCCAGGGAAGGAGGCTGCACATGCTCCGGCTCGTTTGCCAGAATTCCTCGCGTAGGGATTGACGCGCTGGGTGTTGTTACTAAGAGCAGACACCAGCAAAGCTCTGCCAGCCTTCCCCTCAAGCCATGTGCTCATTCCAGTATCTCCTCCCAGCTCAGCTGGCTGTGTTCACAGAGCTCAGTAACCTTGGTGTCTCCAGGAGTCGGATCTTTCACGTTTAGTGAACATAAAATCACGGGGTCATTTAGGCTGGAAAAGGCCTTCAAGATCATAGAGTCCAACCTGTGACTGAAAACCACCTTGTCACTGAGTGCCACGGTCCATTTGTTTCTTGAACACCTCCAGGGAAGGTGTTCAGGTGACTCCACCTGGGCAGCCCATTCCAATGCCTGACAACCCTTTCCATGAGGAAATTCTTCCTGATGACCAGTGTGAATCTCCCCCGGCGCAGCTTGAAGTCATTTCCTCTTGTCCTGTTGCTGGTTATCATAGAATCATAGAATGGTTTTGTTTGGAAGTGGCTTTAAAGATCATCCAGTTCCAACCCCCTGCCATGGGTAGGGACACCTTCCACTAGCCCAGGTTGCTCCAAGCCCCATCCAACTTGACCTTGAACACTTCCAGGGATGGGGCTTCCACAGCTTCTCTGGGCAACCTGTGCCAGGACCTCACCACCCTCACAGTAAAGCCTTTCTTCCTAATATCCAATCTAAACCTCCCCTCATTCAGTTTGAACTCATTCCCCCCTGTTCCTGATGAACAGTCCCTCTCTGGCTTCCCTGTAGGCCCTTCAGTCACTGGAAGGGGCTGTGAGGTCTCCACGCAACCTTCTCTTCTCCACGCCCCAACTTACTCAGCATCAAGAAGTGGATTCAAAACTGTGGATAAAGAGGGACCTGAGAGGCAACAAAGAACACTGGAAGCATAGCTAAGAAACGTGAGAGAACACGTGCTCAGCCTGCTGTGCTGAGCTGTGTGATGAGCTGTGGTGGCTGCAGGGCTGTGAACTAATTAGTGATTATTGCATTCAGGCACCTTTTTTCTAGCAGAATCCATGTCCTGTTACTTGTATGAGGGGAAAGTGTCACTGTGTGTTCAGTTTACCATAAATTAAACCCCAAGGTTTGAATTCACACGCTCGGCGTGTTATGTGCAGCAACGTGCAGAAACCAAGGAGTGAGATGATCAGTGATAAGGAAGAAGGCCCACATTTCACTGCTTTTGGAAGAGCAGAAGCGAGGTTGTAGGCAGTGTTTTTTCAAGAGTGACTGTCCTTTCTCATGCACGGAACAGACCTCCATGATACCAGGCACACCAGTGTTGTCAAGGGGATGACACTGGGATAAAGGGTTGCTTTACAATCAAAAAACCCCCCTGAAAAATCAAATCAGCTCATTAAAGGAAAGGGCGAGGAAGTTCTAACCCTTCCTGTGCCAAGGAGAGGTAGGTAAAAAAAGAATGTCTCTCAATCTGCTATGCTGGCTGGTAGGTTAAAAAAATAATAAATTACCTGCATGCTCATGCTCCTTTTCCCTTCTCTCCACACCCATGCCCATGTTAAGATCTTAGTCTGAGCTTTCAAAGGAATGAATACCTTTGTCTGACAGACATACAGATGGCACTTGCACCCAAGGGCCCTAGTTAGGGTATAAAATTCCAGGTTGCTATATTGCAAATATGGATACATAGGTTAGGGGTATTTGGGCAGGAGCAGGTTGGTTTGGGGGCTGTGTGTGTCTTTAAAAGTAAAGAATAGTTGTTTTATTGCCCTCCTGTGGAGTCTATGCTGATGCAAACAGAAGGTTTTTGCTGAAGAGACTGGAACCAGTGACAAAGCACCATTTTTAAAGACACAAAAAAGAAGAGCTTAGATTGCATAATCAAAGAGAAAAATGAGAAACTTTGTCCTGAAGGCAAATGCACCTACTTCTCATTCACTCTCCTCCCTTTTTCACTACTTTTTTTCCCATGAAATACATGCAAATCCCAACATGCACTAAGTTTTCCTCCAGGCACGATACACTTGTGTGGTTATTCAGGTAAGAAGTGGGTTGAATAGAGATATGAGGTGCTCCCTGCTGAAGGATCTTGGAAAAGAGTGCTCTATTTACTGCTGTTGTTTTAAAGCCATCCGCTCACCCCTGAAAGCATTTGTAGTTAGTACAGGGATATCTGTCTTTCTAATTATACAAAATGCACATTTCCTTCTTAATTTACTTCGTCTTCTCACAGCACAGCCAGGATTTCTGACTCTACCTACTGGCAAAAAATGTCTAGAAATTAAGTGTAAGCATTTTATCAAAATGAAGAGCAGCTTAAGAAGTAATTCAAGTAGAGCAAGAACTTGCTGTTATCAATTAATGCTCACAAGAAATCACAAATTCTGGTCACACAGGACACTTACCAGTTTGGGAGGAGTAAATGAATGTGTGTGGTCTGTGCTTGGCTACAAATCCTTCCAGGTCTCCACTGCCAGCTGTACACTCTCACTTTTAAAGGTGTTTTGTGTGAAGGATGTTGAAAATGGTGGGTTTAGGCAATATTAAAAAATGGAAGGATTAGAGGGTGAGTGCGCAGCTGGGGTGTAGAGACAAGGAAAGGGGGATCTGGGTGGTTTGGCTGGGATGAAGAGATAAGAAAAGGGCATGTGGGTGCTTCAGGTGGGATGCAGAGACAAGGAAAGGGGGATGTGGGTGGTTCAGGTGGGATTTAGAGACGAGGTGGGGCTGTGCCGTTATGGGCAGGAAGATTTCAAGGTCACTCCCAGCTTTCCCTCTGGTGGTTTTTGCCTCTCAGTTTGCTCGTTGGGATATTATGGATGCCGGCGTTGGTCAATTAGAATAATTAAAACTTGAAATATTTTGTTCCAGTAGGATTAATGCCATGGCTGGAATAACTTTATTAAAGTTCCCTGACCATGGATTATTTAATGTGCAGCATAAACACTACTCTTCTCGCCTTTCCTTCTGTCTTTAGGGATGCCAGGATTTCCTGCTCCAGGTCAGTGAGCTGGAGCACTGGTGAAAGGAAAAGGTTGGTTGTAGCAGTTTATATTAAACTGTTACCATGTGGGAAGAGTCCCCTCTTGGAACACAAGACCATCAGTTCTCTCAGAAGCTTTACAGTAGGAAAAGTATTTCCTACCTTCTGTGGTAGGGAAATACTTCCAGATCAGTACTTTTAGTAGCTGGAAGTACAAAGATGCTGCCAGTTATGTTGATGGTGTCAGTGCTTAACACCATGGAGCTGGCACAGCGATTCCTGCCCATTTTCCCACTTTCACACACGGGTTTTTTTAACCTGGCATTATGTCAGTGCCCAACTTTTTTAATCAATAGAATCAGCACCAGGGAAGACAGAGTCAGGCTTTTACACTGATGCTTTAGGCTATTGGACAGAGTTTGTCTTCCAGATTTTTATGGGCTGATGAGAAAATGAAGAAGCTCCTCCCAGCTGCTTGTTGCCATCCTCCTTCCCAAGTCTGCTGCTGACTGAGCTCCATCAGCTGATCTGCTTGGAGGCTCTTTAAACTCTTAAAACTAATTCAAGAGTGCTGGGAATAAAGTGAGTTAGGGAGTGGTTCTCTCAGCAGCTGAACTGGCAGATCTTGGAAGCTGGTAACACAGGGAAGAGCAGGGAGGTGGAAAACCATGGAGAATGGGCCAGTAGGTTTCTTTTTTTTTTAATAAAGTTTACTGTTGTTATATCTGTTCAGGAAAACAAAAACAGTGGGACTATTTCTCCTTGGTTTATATTCCTGTTGCTTCCTTTATATTGATACAGACATGCATCCAGTTGAGCTGATTTATCTGTTCATCATTCCCCTCAACACTCAGCTTTCACTTGGGCCCATTTTCTCATCAATTTAGTGTCTGGCTGTGCCAATTCCAGAGCTGGATCTTAAGAAGAAGAAAAGGTGAGTGTTCAATGGGAGCCCACGCTGATGTCGGGCTAAAGTGACTGGAATTACATTCCTGGTAATGGTTGCTTTGGCTTTCTATGTGGAAAGAGGTTTTAAAATTCTGCCATGGAGTTAAATTACAATAAAGGCACCCTCAGCAGATGCTTGTTGATGGTGATCACAGGACTCTTACTGTGTGGTTGGAATGAAAATGTTACAACTTGTGGCTTCTGGCAAGGGGTAAATGTCTGCAAAATATGACCTGAGTTTCTTAAAAAAAAAAGGCATCCAGTAATTAAAAAATAAATTAAATGTTCATGTCATTGAGGATACTGCAATCCTGACCACTAATCTTACAAGAAGCATTTTACAGAAATGCAATGTGATAACTAAAACTTCTCTGTGCTCCTGAAAATTCTAGGCAACGGCCCCTGGAAGCAAATTCAGGAACGCTGAATTGATCCCGCCATGTGAATGGAAAGAATGCTGCTTTGTAGGGAAATGCATGGAGGAATTTTGTAATCATATTGTGGAACACTTGGACAGGTACCTACAGCACCCCCTGGAAACAGCAGGTCATTCATATCTCACCTGTCACACGGATTACGTTGCAGTTTGGAAGATTATTCCTAGCCTAGGAGATCATTCCAACTTCAGTTTTCCTGAAAAATAATACAGACTTCATTTTACCTGCACCTCACCTTTGATAAGCCCCTGCTGCATGAAGCCTTTAGTCAAGGGCTCATACCTGCTTTTTGCTTCATTCCTGATTATCTTGTTGGGTTTTTTGGGGGTTTTTTTGTATTGACAGCTATAACTTATATGGAAAGAGATGGGAGAGGTGATGTCATGAGAATTTCTGCTGAAGGTTTTTTAAATAGGGTTTTTTTGAGATTAGGGCCTCAGCACATGCAGATTTTAGCAAATTATTTTTGAATGGCAGAGTTTTTCCCTGTCAGGGAACTGGTCTGCTACGTAATTTTAAGTTTAAAGCAGCATTCGTATGAATCTTTATGGAAAAATGGAAACTATTACTGTTTGTATGATATTTGCCTTATTTGGGTACATACACTGCTGTATTTATGATGGGTATTGGGGTTTACACTTTTTATATAAATAGTATTAAATGTGCTCAAAAGCAAACCAAAAAAATCCGATTCTGCAGAAAATTACAGGCAGTCTCTGTGGATGTAATAGCAATAATATACCAGACTTTTTAATATAGCTGGTTTGGCTCTTGTGTATCCTGCTCTTTATTCTTAACACTGTAATCAAGTGTAATTACAGGTGTAGACATTTTAATTAAAGGTGAATGAGTTTTAATTAAAGGTGAAAAAAGTAAAATTGGACCAACATTAACAATGTCTCTGTGACCTAAGCTGAAGAGTGTCACAGTATATACCTAGGAAAATACTTATTTTTACAAAATTTTCCTATCAAATCTATGAAGTGCCTCTCTGCAAAAAGCTGTGCTTTGAGGAACAAAGCACTGTGGTATTGCTGCAGTTGTGAGACAGCGAAAAAATCTGTTTGCCACTGAGATTTGCAAGTTTTATCTAGTGCATTATCAGCAGATAGCAGTTACCAGCTTCTCTGCTAAGGTTACTCACAGAAGTTACGAAGTCACTACACGTGTAAGTACTGTGGGCATTCTCGGGGTTGTGGCCCAGTTGCAGGTTTCGTGTGTTTCGTGCAGGTTTCTGCATTTCATGCAGATTTCAGTGCTCCATAAAATGTCACTTCTTTCTTGCGTTTTAAGAGCAAGGTTGGTGGAGAAGTCGTGAATTTTGGGGTGAAAGATCCCGGAACGCCGGCAGCACATGTCCATTTTCACAGTTACCACTAAAGGATTCTCATGTTTGGAGAACAGGCATAGCTGGCATCAGTTCCCAAGGACTTTGGAGGAGGCTTTTTCGCTGTTGGGAGAATTTTGATGCAAGTGAAATACTTGATATTTATCTGCCTTTTTTTCCCTCTTTCCTAACTTTACTTCAGCGTTCTTTAGATTTGACTCATAACTGGGTGGTTTTGCTCACTCTGAACACTGTGTCCCACTATCTTTGCAAGTAACACATGATTATTACAGTAGCAACCACGAAAATGTAAACCACTGGAAAAGATTGCCCAGAGAGGGTGTGGAGTCTCCTTCACTGGAGATATTCCAGAGCCATCTGGACACAATCCTGTGCCATGTGCTCTGGGATGGCCCTGCTGGGGCAGGGAGGCTGGACCAGATGACCCACTGTGGTCCCTTCCAGCCTGACCCATCCCGGGATTCTGGGATATTTGCATAAAATTTTCTATCTTGAATTCAAATCTTCTTTCTTTTTGAGGGGACTAAAACGATCTTTTTGACAAAGATGCAACTTCTCTTGTGTTTTAAGAGCATATATGAAAAGTTTTAATGTACCCGTTTTAAAGATAAATAAATGAACTTGGTAGTTCATAGCCAGGTCCAGAGTGTTTATTGTTCGTCTGAAGAAAGACAACAGAATATCTGATGTTTCCTTGGTCAGCTGCAAATGTTTGGGATTTTTTCTTTACTGGAACAAAAATCGGACATTTGCAACAAGCTCTTTATATAAGTTTAATGTCCAAATGTGGCTAAGATTGGCTTCAGCTAAAAATGGGTTTTATCTTGGCCACTTTTTGATGTCCTGTGCTCAATAAAATCATTTTTCCATTCTGTTTTGACTGTGCTATTTCTGTATCAAGTAAACCAGGACAATAGCAGTTGATATCCTTTTCTTTAACAATATTGATATAAATAGTGATGCCTATATATTTTTTTTTTCTGCATCTTGAAGGTGTCCATTCCTAATGAAAAGTGGCTTCGTGTTGATATGACATTAGGGGGAAGCACTTTCTGTCACTCTTGGCCTCAGAACATCAGCTGTTATTTATGGCTGCTGAGCATTACCTTTGCACCCACAAGTGTGATGACATTTTCTTACCGTCTCCTTTGGTCTAACTGTTGAGCAAGATAGTTCTTAGAAAAAGAAACAGGTGCAGGAAAATTTTTTATCTGCTCTACAGTAATTTTTTCATGTTGTATGAGTTTTTCTGTTTCACTTCAGCGATATAATTGAAAACAAAATATTGGTGAAGAAGAAACAACTGAATTGAGACACTGAGAAGCTGTAAAACTAAACAAATTTTCAAACATCATATGATGTAGGTTTAATAATGGCTAACTATGAATCAAAACAACAGCTTTGTTTTTCAGAGGCCTTTGATCCTTTTTTTCCTTACATCAATCTAAGCCTTTCAAAGGTTCACGGGTTATCATCCTTAAATCCCATTTCTCTATCACCCACGATTTTTTCATATTAAAATTGTGACAAAATTAATGATGTAAACTATCTTTTTGAGGTTAAGAACAGACACTAATGAGGATGAAAATATAATTCCACGCAAGGGAATGTCAGACTGGTGGTGCTTTACATAGACATTGTCTCCCTCATGTGCATCACATCCTTGAACTGGAACCAGTGTGATATTTAAGTAAATAAATTGCAGTGGTGGAGTGAAATTACTTTTGTTTTCTGGTGGTGGTTATAGTCCAGGCTCTGCTTTGCTAACCTTCACCTTACTAGGTCTAAGTTCATTTCCAGTTTCCTCCTAACATTTCAGCCTGGAGATTGTTTTGCCATTGCACATATAAAAGGTGAGTTCCTCCTCATCTGTGCATTATTCCTGGAGAGAATGACTAGAAATATCCTTTTGGCTCTGACTTTAGCATATCTGCATTCACATAATGCTTTGACACCTTGCATCTCATTAATTATTCCTTACATCAAACAAGGAATGACATAAAAATCTGAGTGAATTTTATAGAGAGTGTTCTGTTGTTTCGTCAGTCTGTGAGAAACTCTATCTCTGTAAATAAAGGCTTTTATTTACTAGTGGATTACACATGTAGTACCCCATTCTTTTCTTTTTAAAGCTGTAAACCTAAATATATAATATTAAGCATTAGTTATGACAACTTTTGGATTATTTGCATAGTTTGATTGCAAACTGTTGTTACAAACAAATCTTACTGCCCTTATGTCTCGTATCTTACAGGAATCATATTTCTTACAGCAGTCATTTTTGTTACTAATGCTCTTTAATACATACCAATATCAGTCTTTACTCACATACTGCCATGATTGGTCTATTTATTTTAAAAATGGAGAGATTCAGAAAAAGTTCAAAGCCCTCAGAATTTTACTTTGCTGCATCTATCAGTGAGCACAGTCTTTGCTTGAAAAACACGCTTAAAAATCACTTAATTGATTTCATGTTCCATTTTTCATTTATGTAAGTGGGCAGTTTTGGCTGATGGAACCCCGGACTCCGTAGCATTCTGCTAAATATTTTCACACATGTTTTTTTCAAGTTCAAACTATGTCGTGAATTTTATTAATTAAAAGAATGTTTCCCAACCTAGTAGGCAGGCTCCACCAGACCCAGAAGGTGGGGTAGGGCACACTGTGAAAGAGGAGAATTTTGAGGGCAGGGAAAACTGCTTACCTTTCCCACCCTCCTGCAAATATGTTCCCACAGTTATGAATATAATTCTCTTTGAAAATCACCCATAGATCTTCCCCCCGACACTCGTGGTACCTCTTGCTGTGTCGGATTCAGTTTCCCCCAAAGGTAAAGCTTCCGACTCAGGCAACAGCCCCAAAAACTTCCCTCCTGTTTACATGTAAAGAATATTCAAGAAAGTTCCGGTGAAATACTCAAAGTTTTGGTGCCAACAAATTACAATGGGTTTAAGCCCCATATGGTTACTCTGATTAAGAAGTGAAGTGGTTCTCGATCTGTCTGGCTCAATATTTTAGTTGATTCACCTTATTATGCCTATATGTTTCCATATACACAAGACCTTTGGATTTCTCAGATCCTGTTTCAAGCCCTTCAGAGGAAATAAGGGCTTGTCTCCCTTAGGGAGCTGTTGTGAAATACATTGGAATACGAATTTAAAATGCAGGATTTGCCTGGATTAACTCCTTGTGTGAACGCTCTGTTCTGCACACACAGAATGCCTGGCAGCTTAGTTTAATCCACTCTGCTAAGATTAGGTTGATTAAAACCAGATAATCCAAAATAAATGTGTGGGTTTTTTTCATTTATATGTTTTTCTTTAAAAAAAAAAAAAAAAAAAAAAAAAAAAAAGACTGCTGTTTACATTTTAATCAGCTGTACATTGTCAGCATGGCAACATCAGCCCAAGGAGTTTCAGCTGTTTCCCATTTCCCTTCCCCAGTGTTTGATTTGGTTGAGAGCCAGATCAGCTCCTTGTCCCAAATTCAGGGTGTGGCCTTACAAAATTTGTGCCAGCACAGCAGAGAGGTTAAGGGTTAAATTACTGGGAGCTGAGGGGAACACTGAATTTGGACTGATGCAGTTGATGCAGTCAAATGACACCTTGTGTCACCTGAAGAAAATGCAATATGAGTCTACTTTCACTCTCAAGTGTGGATTTTTTGTGGAGTGAGGCAGAGGCTAGTTAAGGTTTAGTCCCCCATGTCACATAAGTACTGACTCCTGCAGTGCTGCATCCTGACACTTGATTCAGATCAGACATTGTGCAGCCTTCCCATTTCTGTTGGAATTACCTGCACTGCCCTCATGGCCTTCCCGGGAATAGGAGCAGGGAGAAGTGGAGAGAGAGGAGAAGGTAAAAATGTGCCAAAGAAATAAATCAGCAGAAGCACATTAACAGGCACATCCCTGCCACAAAGAATGGGGACTACTCACCCAGTTAGCCTAGACAGATTTTTCAGCCATGAGAGGGTAGGTGAAAATCCAGGGCCTGGTTTGTGTTGTGGATACTGCAGAATGTTCTACATTTTTGTAGTTGATGTAACTGTGTCTGTGTTGGAGTGAGTTAATTAAATGTTACTGCAATATTTACCGGTGTCTGTTGGGTTTCTAAAAACACTTAATTCTATGTTCATGTCAGTTGATTACCTGCCAGAACTGTCTTGTCTTCTCCATGCTTCTATTTTGGTTTAAGGTTACCCTCAGTAACCCAGCATGGTTTTATAAGCATGTTGCTCTTCATGTATGATACTGAGGAATAAGCTGATACAAATCAGAAGAAACTTGTTTATTGCCACTGGAAAGGTAGTTCATATGAAAAAAAAATCTATTTTAAAAAGTATTTCACTGCAGCATTTCTTACAAAATTCACTTAGTGCTACATTTAACATAGCAACTTGTGAGAGATCTTCAGAGTTTTTTTTTTAATTTATCTAAAACAATTGCAAAAGCATTTCTATTTTATAGCACCACAATTTAAATAGAATAGTTCCTATCATCCATCAGCAACTCTCAACTTAGACTAATTGGGAGCTGAATGCCCTCAATTCCCAATTAGTCCAAGCTGAGAAGTGCCAGTACTAAACAAGGTTGGGTTTCCTCATGAGTCTGCTTGTGGTTTATAGTTCATATACCATTCAAACAGACTTTTCACTTGCATTCTATCAGGCAGGATCACGGCTGTCTCCCTCATAACAGTATTTCAAGGTGAGCTGTTCTTTCTGTTCCCCTGATCCCTTCAAATCAAGGGAAGAGCACACCTTTTGCCGTCCTAGTTTTTCCCAGCTCTGTGGTAAGAAAGAGCATTTTTAATGCATTCTCTGTGTTGGTAGCTACCTCTTGTGTTAAAATTATTGCCATGGCTTCAAAGCTGATGTCCTGCCCTTGGCTGTATTGGAGAAGCCACATTCCATTGACAGTCTTTCATAGCAGATGCCTTGGTTGCTTGAGTAAGGGCTAAACTATAGGCTGTATTTGCTGTGCCTGCAGTTCAGCTTCAGACCCACTGAGTGTAGGAGCAGAACCTCTCCAGAAGAAAAGCCTTTCTGCTGAAGAAAAATGAGGCAATTTGTGGGACTCTGGCCCTGGAACAGATCATTCTGTGCTTGCTTTAAACAAATCAGTTTGGCTTTGTTTTGTAAAACGTGTCAATAAAGTCCAGATCCGATTGGAACCCTCTTGGTGAACCCCCCCCCCAGATATGTGTCTCTTCAATTTATGGGTTAAAGTTGCTTTTTGGGTTAGCTGTTAATGACAAAATCCCATCAGTGGATGCAAGGCAACATAAACTTGTTCATTTTCCCTCTTGAGATTAGCTGACAGCTGGACTATTTTTTGACTGGGGAACTCACTCCAGTGGCCTGATAGTGTAGAATCTCTAGTCTTTAGAGGAACAAAATTCACACATCATTGTGACCATAGCTTTAGAAAATAAAGCCCATTAGGACAGGTGAAGGGACTTCATCAGTTATAACAAGAGAGGTGCAAGTTACAAATTAGGAAAACCATTTTAATAGGGTATTTTAAAATACTGTGGCCTGTTGAGATTATAGAGGCTATCTATCACTGGGGAACTCAGAAGACCCTTTTCTGAGACCAAAGTGTACTTGATCCTGCCTCAGCACAAAAAAATAGGTCCTGAATTTTACAGGATCTGTTGTAGTCTGTGTTCTTGACATTCGGAGTGGTGGCATCCATTTTAAAGTGACATGTAAATCATGGTGTCCAGGCATGAAAGACAATTTTCCATTCACACCCCCCACAACCTAACAGGCCAGTGAGGTCTCATCTCTGTGTGGGTCTCATCTCTGTGTGGAAGCAGCTTGTCATGGCACTGAGACAATGGATAGAAGGTGATTAGCCTTTTCCAGGGACCCTCAGTAAGTAATTGGGTTGAATTCATGAGGGTACACCAAGAGTGGGCTGCTCTGCAAGGGGCAAACTGGGAGAGAAGGGTCACAGTTAGGCAGGGACATCACTGACAGGGTGCAGTCTCCTCACAGGGCCCGAGAAAGAAGAACAGAGCAGGTCTGGTGGTGCTACCCAGGGCCAACCACAGCCCAGTGACCACCAACCAAGTCCACTGTGACAACACAGGTCTGAGGTCAAGCCAGGAAGTCCAGATAGAAAGTCAGGGATTCAGTCTGTTGTCCTGTATGTCACATTTTGAATCTGGGGCTAAACAGAGATGGAAATCTTCACGTTGCACTAGAAGGATGATCAGTCCTCCAGCTTCTGACTGAGACATGCTTGGCCTTTTTTTTATGGTCCCTCCATCAGAAGTGTCCTGTACTCTGCAGAGGTGACAGAGACACTGATGATCCTGTTTCCTCACTGTAGGCAGGGTGAGGTTTTAGCATTTCCTCTGTCTTTTAATAAGGAGTTTAGAGTTCTGTCCCTTTACTAAATTAATCTGCAGCTCAGAACTCTGCACCAGGAATATCAGCCTGTATTCTACCCATTGCAGTGGATGTGGGTTGTCATCAAGGCTTTCACACTCTTGTTCTACTTGCAGAAATGTCCTGATGAATAGCAGAAATGGAACATATGAAGCACCTACTTGGTTAAATGAACTAGGCAAATACTCTTTGTTAAATGAATTTTGTGTATTAATTTCTGAGACCAAAAGATACCCAACGAGTCACTGAGTTTGATTCACTTGATTATTCTTATCATCAGGAATATTTTATCTTTCCCCACCTCTTGCTCTTGAATTTGAATTTAGTCCTCTTGATTCTTTAGAGTCTTTGATTTGGTCTAGGCTATCTTTCACCTTTCTAAAAAGGTAGCCTTCTGCATAGCTTTTACCTTTGTAAGGTAGATAAGACACACTTGTGGCTGCTTTTTTTGCATGAGAGAATAGGATACTTCTTTACATCTATCTGAAGTTTTTTCCTAAAAGTAGTTTTTTAGCTCTATTTACACCTAAACATAAAACTACTTCAGATTTTGCCCTTGTCATGTGTCAACTGTCAGAGCTTTCTACTTCTGCTGTTAAAGCTTGCACTGTGTCCTCAGCACCAGAGGGTTCCTGAGCTCAAGAGATCTGAGGACAGAGCTTTTTATATGCAAAGATGGTTTGGTGGATCGCTGATTGCTTGTGGTTAACCACCACGTGAATGTAAATGTGAAGACAGAAAGTGTGAAGATAAAAACAAAAAAGGAGATCAGCAGGCAGAGTTCTTGGAGATGTGCAGTTGTCATGTACTCACTACCCCACCATCCTGGTTCTCCAGAGACTAGGAAGATGTAGAGGGGACCACATCAATGTCTGTATACATATATATAAAGTAATATATTAACAGTAAGACATAACTATGTAATAATCTTTTCTCTTTCTACATAAGAAAGAGGACAGTACTCGTGCAGCTTTTTTTTATTGTTTGTTTGGCTTAGATTTCTTAGGCATATTTCAAGGAAGGTGTAGGCTATGGGAGTACTTAAGAACCCACACTCAAGACAAGGTTGTATCATCTCCTATTTGTGGAGGGATGTTCTCCAATAACATCAAGATTTTTGATCATGCAAGGAGACAAGTTTCAGAAGACAGTAAGTGGGTGTGCTCTTATTTCTGTTTATATTTCTAAAATTCAAGGTGCTTTTTGATAACATGTGTGTGTGATTTAATAAATATTACTATTTTTCATGTAAGTCAATTGCATGAAAGCAGGGTTTGCTCCAGGAAGGCCACTGTTTTCATGAAGCACAGAAGTTTTCTTGGTTTTGCCTGCTTGGTGAACTGGAGCAATGAAAGTGAACAACAGAACACCCTTAGGTCTGTGTTTCAGCACAAAAGCTTTTCCCTTGGCACTGCCTGTCTTCCCTTGGTGGCCATGGCACAGTGTGACATTCCACTGATGCTGGGGAGCTGCCCACAGATGGGAAGGACTGTTGATTATTGAAGAAACAGCCTCTCCGGGAGCCACACTTGGATTAAAAAAAATCTCTGCAAGTAAACCCAATGAGCACTTAACTACTTTCAAGTCAAAAAGCAATTTTTTTTCCTTTCCAGCTTTGCTTTTCCAGTAAGCGTTTTCTTCACCAGAACGCTCCCTACCTCAACCAACTGCGTGTTAATGTGCTAAAAAGGAAGGGAGAGGTGGTGTTTTTGTTCTGGTTCTAAGTGCTTGGAACATATTTAAGATTTGTGGACGTTTTGGTGATGGAAAGTAGGTGCACTAATTGACAGAAGATCTCAAATTTCAAGCTGTTGGTGTTTTGAACAGATTGTTGTTCTGTTTAGGATAAAATTGACTCACTGATAAACAACTGATTTCATTAAGCCTAAATTAAATTGGTAATGAAAAAGCATACTGAAACTGTCTCAGTGCTGTATTAGTTTATCAATGCAACCGACAGCTATAGGTTATTAATTAATAAATCTTCATAAGTTATTTGCATTGCCACTGAGTCGTTTCTGTTTAAATTCAGAAAAAAATATTTCCTTGTCAGAACTGTCAGAAATGAAAGGCTGCTATGAGATCACATAAGGAAACATGACAAGTCAGAGCTCTTTAAAATAAAACATACTTTTTTCAAGGTCACCTTGTACAGAACAGGTTGGATAAACTGCAGACTTCAGATGTTCAGCCTGGAGAAGACTCCAGGGAGACCTTAGAGACCTTCCTAGTGCCTAAAGGGGCTCCAAGAGAGCTGGAGAGGAATTTAAGACAAGGGTCTGGAGTGGTAGGTCAAGGGGAACTGGCCTTAAGATGAAGGAGGGCAGGTTTAGATCAGCTAATAGGAAGAAATATTCCCTGTGAGGGTGGCAAGGCCCTGGCACAGGTTGCTCAGAGGGTCTGTGGATTCCCTATTCCTGGAAGTGTTCAGGGCCAGATTGGATGAAGCTCAGAACGTTCTGGTCTAAAGAAAGGTTTCCTGCCTTTCCTGAGGCAGGAATTAGATGATCTCTAAGGTCCCTTCCAACCCAAACCATTCTATGATTCTATGGTTAAGAAAATCAGTATATGAAACTAGGGCAATTGTGTTACAAACGCTGGAAAGTCAGGACTTTATTACCTGGAAATTCCATTCTTTGTGCCTTCAAATCAGAAAGTTTGAGGGGCTTTTCTGCTTTGCAGTAGCTCCCATGAAGATCTGTTTACTTGCTTCCACGACTCGGGGCTTGTTTAGAGCCAAAGGTGTGTTTTAGCTTGGGCTGCAGCTCTGCTCACCTTGCAGTGCATAATCAGCCTCACTCAAACAGTGCAGTCCTTCCCTGACCTAACCACAATCTCCCTCAGGTCCCCAGAGGTTCCCACAACAGCTATGACTTGCTGGGAAAGAATCCTGCAGCATCTAAGCACAAGGAAACCTGTGATATTGCTGTCGGACGCACAGGAAATGCAGAAGCCGAGAGGCGGGTGGGTCTCTGCTTTGGGAATAGGAATGTTCGAGCCATGGAGCCAGACCTGGGAACATTTAGGTTGTATAAACACACAAGCAGCTTTGTGCAGACTTGCTCAGGGGGGGTAGATTCTGCTTTCTAGTTGCATTCTTAAGGAAACACGATTTTTCACTGACTGCAAGTCAACACACGGATGCTGAGCAACTCTGCATTTCATTAGATGCTTGCTGTGAGCTACCAGCTCTGACCATGCTTGTATTTAAATGGTTTTATAGTTGATGTGCATCTGGCTAAAATATCTCAATTTTCATATTTTATGCTAGAAAATAGAGAATTGCTTTTTTTTTGTGGATTAGTTTTGTTTTATTCCTTTCTCTCAGGGTGCTTTTGAAAAGAAATTGGAAATAAATCCAAATCAAGGGGTTTTTAATTTTATTAACTAACGAAGCTGTTTAAATACGCTGTTGGGCTCGTTTCTTTTTTTTTTTTTTTTAACTAAAGCATAACACAGATTAAGGTAGATTTGATATATTAAATGAAGCCCATGGCTAACTGAACTATTTCCTTCTGGTCACTCTGGCTGCACTTAAAACCCTGTGAACTGTACAGTGTGCCTGGCTGTCCTTGTCCCCTGATAATTCTGCCTGTGCTCTGCTTGCATAGCCAGGGAAAATCACAAGGTGGCTGGACCAGGAGCAAGGATTACGTGAACCTCTGTCATGGCCCAGCAAGCCACAGTGAACCAGCTGCCCTGTGAACTTGGCTGAGGGAGCTGGGAGACATCTCGGGGTCCAAATGCTCAGGCACAACCCAAATCCCTTCAGATATTAAAGCCAGTTACGTCCCTACCTCATCATTCAGCTTTCTTTAAAAATCCTGGCAGCACACGTGTGCGTGTTGGTGCAGACTGCCAGTGCAGACATGACGCTCTCCTACTCCTACCCCAGTGCATTGTGTAACAGCTCTCTGATAAACATTGAAACTCTCTTTTAAAGAGCCTGCTTACCTACGAGTATTGACGCTGAAATAAGCTGTGATGTGAATGCAAATGCTGAAGATATTCTGAAATCGCTCCCTACGTGGACTTATTTCCACGCTAACAAATTGTTGGATGCTCCCATTTCGAGAGACTGATGAGATTCACTGATGCAGTTCTGCAGATTAAATTATGCCAGACTAGTTTTCCACATGAATTTAGGGAGTTTAAAAAAAAAAAAAATAAAAAAAAATTCCTGGTCTAGGACAAACTACAAGGAAAAGTGCCTATGCAAGGAGTGATTCCAGAATAGTTACAGTGCTTTATATTTGCTTCCTTTTCTTTGAGAAAACATTAGCACTTCAACTGCATGTTTTCCCCTGGACATTTATAAAACACTGGGCTGATTATGAAACAATGCATGGCATCAAATTCAAACAAAACAGATTTTGCCTAAATTCAAACCTTCTTCATGGAGACTCTTCCTGCTGCAGGAATTCATCCGGTTGCTGATTCATCCGCACAGAGCAGCATTTGTTCAGCATTAAGGTGTTACAGCCCTTCCTGCCCATCTGCCAGAGGTTCTCCCAGCTCCAGAGTTGCCAGAGAGCAAACCTGTGTCTCAGCCACTGCAGCTCAAAGTCTGGCAGCTGAGCAAGCACCGAGCATGGCTTTGCCCCAGGCAAATAGATCCGAACGTGAAACGGGGAGGTGGAGGGCAGACACTCTTTCTGCCACTTTTTTTTTTAAGAGTGGTAATACTTTAAACTCTAAAAGTAGATTCGCCAGTGCTCATCTGTCAGAAGGCCTCCAGACAACATCCATCTTTTAGAAACCCTCCCAAAGTGCCACGGGCAAAACAACAATCATCCCTTTTGTGAGGGCCCAGAGAATGAAACACGATCCTCTAGGTCTGTTTCACTTACCATCTATTTTCTGGAAGTAATCTGAAATGTTCTATTTGACCATTATTTCACAACACCCTTTATTGAATCTGCATTCCATTCTGATCTCGTTCTTTCTCTGTATATTTTATTCCCAACTGTATTAAAATACGATAATTTTAATATGATATTTTAATTTTTTTTGTTGTATGTGAGAGCAGACAATATAGAACTGAAAGCAGGGTTTTTTTCTCTATTATCCCTTCCAGTTAACCATGTTACATGTGCCCTTTGTGATATGGTGGGCACAAGGCCTCTTCACTGAAAGCACACATCCATTCCTGACAGCATCAAGAACATCCTTTCCATTGTCCCCTCTGTGACAGCAGGTGAGAAAACTTAAGGCTCATGGTATTGTGATGTGGTGGACCAAGTTGCATATATAAGCACTGGCAAATTATGTTTAAACTTGCCTGAGAAGATGAGAGGCTTGGCCTTTGGATGCTGGAAATGGGATAAAATATTTAAGCACTTTTGAGTTCGCTTCGTGGGTGGGCAGAAGGAAATAACTGGAATTTCTAGACCAGAGAGGATGAAGTGACTGCTTGACAGTGGACAAGAATTTTCTCTACGTGAACATAAAAAAAGGGTGATAATTGTGGAAAAATTACCCAGATTTGGGCACGGTGTGGATGTGTGGGAAGAAAGAGGGAATGGAAAATGAAATCCAGAGCACATCAAAGAGATGTCTGCACTATCCCCTTTTCACAGGTGGAAAAACTGAGGTAGAGAAGCAATTTACACATATTCCGCTTTCACTTGTTATTGTCAGAGCCAAAAATTTCTACCTCCCAGTCCTAAACATTAACCACAAGGCTACTCCTCTGTACTATTATATCTGTTATTTGTTTTGCCTTGTTTTCAGTTTTAAGAGCGCCTCTGATCTGCATAAACATGTCGAAACACACAGTGATTCAGGTGCCTACAGCTGTGATGTCGAAGGATGTGGTTTTATTTCACGGACCTCTCTGACTTTGGAGACAGCACTGCAAGAGAGTGCATGTGGGGAGTATATTAAATAGCAGGGTAAAACATATTTCTATAAATGAGACCAAAGTTTCAAATTTACATGTATTTAGTTTCACGTCAATCAAGGAAATGTTCTATTTTTTTGCACCAAATCAAGTATTTATTTGCACACATTTTTAGGGCTCTTGTAATCATTATGCAAATGCCTGATTCCCCCTCACCTATAGGTCTGGAGTGCTTACTTTAGGTACATGCAGTTGCATACTCAGAGTCTTAAACCATGGCCAACTCCCTCTCCCTCCCTTTTTTTTTTCTTTTTTTTTCCTTAAAGAAATAAACCACATGCCAATTCCAATCTCAACAGCAAAACATTGCAGGGATTAAAACCCCATGTCACTTTTCTCCTCATGTTCATACTCCAGCCTTAGAACCAATATGTTACTTGAAAATAGAAAAACTTTTAATTGGGTGAGTGTGGTCAGACATTAAAGTTCATTTTGAGTTGCTATAATTTATGGATGCTTGTTGCCTGTTTCTTCAGCTTTTCTGAGCTGCAATCACTGCTGTGTTGTAAAATGAATATATTTTAGAGGGAGCTGTGTGTCACACTGCTCTTGGAGATATCTCCAGCACTGATGGCCAATGCAGAGGATTTCCATTGGGGTTCATCAATCAGACAAGTTCTAACAACCTCAAATAGGAAACGTTTTAGGAAGCTGACTTCAAAAAGGTTTTCAGCTATTTAGTGGGGTTTTCCCTTTTTCAACAAAGGATTAATTTTTGTCATATATACTTGCAAGCCTTCCATGACTCTAACAGTCATTTTTCCCAAGAATAATGGCATTCTGAAATATAAATACCACATCTTTCAGAAACGTTTATCCTGGAGTTATTCATTGACTTCGAAAAGTTCATAATCTCAGCAATCATTCTCATTCCAGGTGTGTTACCAGTTGATTCTTGTACAGACCATAAAGTATTTCTTCTAAAACATTTTGTTTAAGAGATGCAAATATTTAATTAAAAGCTCTCTTAAGTTTGATTGCATTTTAGGCATTCTGAGTGTGAAACAATTTACTACTAAAGTTTCACTATCATGACGGAAAACTTAGTCTAAAGATGGGTAAACCAAGGAAATAAAAAGGTCTTTTTGCTTTTATTGCTTTTTCCACTGTGAAAATCTTGTAGCCTTGACTGTTGGAAGAAATTTTTTAACCCTGGAAGTTTGTATCCACCCAAAGAGAGTAGGTAAATATAGGAACAAGCTTCCGTAGTATAAACAAGACAGGACATTTTGAGACAAAAGAATCCAACCAATTAAATATTATTATAAATAGGTAGCTCTTATTTTCTGTTATGTGATGTGTATTTGATAAAAACTACTTACTGGAACCCTCATGCAAGTGTTCCTTCACACAGAGTGTCTTTTGTTTGAGTGCCACATAGTATACAGCAATCTAATTCAACTTTTAATCGCTGACATTATCAGCTTTGGCAATCTAATTTAGATATTATTCTTATTTTCTGCTGTAAATGCTATGCTTGTAACTTATATTTTCATTATTTTCAATTGTATTCCCTTAGATATAAAGATGACAGTGAAGGCCATCAGAGTTTGGATGTAACTGCTGTGGGTTGGGGTCAGAATCCCCAGATGGTAACAAGTAAGTCTTGACCAAGTCAAAATAGTTTTGGAAGAGGGGACACTTGAATGAGCTTCAGCCACAGTCACCAGCTACTGGAGAAAATGTTCTGGTGGAAACAGGGACTTCTCTGCCAGAGCCAGTCTGGGCTGAACTTCAGGCTGTTTTGGAACCTGTTGTACTTCCACTGAAGTTGATGGAACAACACCAACCAACACGATGGAAAACCCCAGTAGGAATGGATCTGGGCTTGGGAATTCTAGAAAAACAGGTTCTATTGGATTTTTACTGTGAATAAATCAATTTTTTTTTTTTACTCTCTGGAAGAGGTTTACTTTTTTAAACAAAATATGTCTTCAAGTTTTCACTTTTATCCTTGTCAAATCTTTTTACAGCACTGTGTTTTCTCAGCTTTCTTGTGAAATTATTCTGATATGCTTAGAGAATATATGCAAGAAAAACACGACATTATGCACATAAAGTACTTTGATTTATAGCCATTTATATTCCTATATATGATGTTTCATTTTGGAGAAGAAACTTTTAAGTTCTGTATATTCATATAGCATATTCATTTATTTCAAAAATATAGCCCATGGGAAAAGTGTTCAGCCGATGCACAAGACAAACAGTTTGAACTGGTAGGTAAAACATGCCATTTTTATTAGTCCACCACGTTATTTATTAGACATTAGATAACAGGTAGTGAGATGTACATGAGGAAATTACAATTTTGGCAAGTTTCTTAGCTTTACTTAGTGACTTTCAAATTATTTCAAGAGTTATTAGAGAGTCTTTCTTCTAGAGTTGACTTTTAAGTTACAGTCTATCTTTAAATGAATAAATTTAAATTAAAAAAGAAGGTTGTGTCTAAATAAAACGGTTAAAGATGCTCACAGAGCTGACTTCAGGATTTATATACCACTTATACACATGTGCTCACCGCTGCTTCAGCCTCACAACCTACTCCAGGTTGTCTGCCGTGTTTAGCAACCCTGGCCAGAGAGAGCAAAGGAATTTAAAAGCCCGGTCTCAAATACAGTCAAATTAAAAGAGTAAAAATCCCCTTCCACCGTGTTGCTGCCTCGAAAGCTCCTGCTTTGCAGGCGGCTGAGACCTTTGTGCCCGGGTTTTAATTCTTATTAAATATGCTGGGCCCTAAGTCGTGGTGATTCAGGTGATGCTTCAAGGGCAGTTGAGCCATTCGAGCAGTGGGGGCAGCCAGACAGATGTGGGTGGCAGCCTGATTTTAATCTGCCTTTTGTGCAGGAACCAGAGAGCCAGCATTTTTAATACTTTACAGCGCAGGGAAAACTGACTCACGTTTCTCTGGGCAATGAATAGGTACCACTATAGCCTCTGGGATTTCCCCTGCTAAATATCAAAGGCCTGCAACAAACAACCGAGGTGTTAATGCTTCCCAAAGAAAGAGTCCTTTATAATGGAAAGTATTAGTCAACCAGAACACAGAGGAGTCCTTCCCAGATCTTTTACAATAGCTTACCAGAAGTCTCTAATCCAATATCCAACCATTTGCTCCCCATGCCTGCCCGATTGGGAGGCTGCTGCCTCCAGTGCAAGCTGCATTGCAGGTACCAAGGTTAATTTGCACCAAGGCCATTCAGGGTTTCACATGACAGATTTAGACACGGCATTATAGATTTGTACTCGAGCCGTGGGACTGCACTAGCTGGGCAAGAACATGACCTGCAAGTCCCAAATTCCCACAGCTTCGTGTGAGCCTGTTAAATACATTTTGGAAGGCAAAATCAGCTGCAGGGGCAGACCCAATGGGATGAGAACTTATTAATGGAGACCTATTTTTGAAAATCATATTTTAAAATAATTTCCCTCACTTGTCCTGCTTAATGACACGCTAGAGTTTTATCCTGCTATTGCTTAGGTACCTGATTCACTTTATTGCTATCATTCACAGAGTTTGCATTCACACAAGGGCTTTGCAAAGCGAAAAAGTTACATACTTCTTTCTTTTTTGTCATTAATCTATTTTAGAATTTGCAGTCTTGTATATAGTTTATATGCAGAGGCTTTGCTAACACATCTACAAGGCAAGACTAGTTAGAAATTACGATTTTAAAGGGGTTTTTTTCAGTGTTTTTTAAGATTTTGTGTTATGATTTTTAATTAACGTTAAGATTGTTACCACTCCAAGATGCTGGTTTGCACATACGAAGCAAAACAAAACATCCATCTGAAAGCATTTTGGTGAAAAGAGGCTTTTTTTTTCTTCTTTTTTTCTGACGTTGATATACCAAATTTTAATTTTTTTTTTTTCAGGCCGGCTATTTGTACTACAATAACTGCGTGTAAATCCGTTTGGGTTTGAAAACTAGAATTTTGTTTCTGCTTAGTTTTCGAAGTGATTCTCAAGCTGTTTCCCCATACACACAGCAAGGGCTGCTGAGTGTGATCCCTAAGAAGAGGCTGCACTGGGGACTGAACGCTCTGAGTGCGATCCCATAAAAGAAGCTGCACTGGGGACTGAACGCTCTGACTCACCTGCCACCCTGTCCCACGACACTGCAGGACATGTGTCGGGCAAATATCTTTTCCCGACACATACTTTTATCCGGTACCTCCTGGGAGAAAGCGGCTCCACGGGAGACAAGGCGTTATTTGCCAGGATTTGTGGGATCCAGCCTGAAAAACAACTTCTCCCCGCGCACAGCAGGTATGAGGCGGCCGTGAGTCATGAGGGACTCGTTCTCATGGAGCCAGATCATCAGATAAAGGACCTGGCGCGGGTCCACCGGGCGCTGTAAAAGCAGCGCGATGGCTGGAGCGCGGCTCTGGCACGGGATCTCTGCGGATTTCGGGGCGACCAGACTAGCCCTTAGCTCTGCGGAGGCAGGAGGAGACAGCCCTGCCACGCTGACAAAGAGCATCCCCCTTGATAATGACCCCGGAGATGGTGCCGTGCAGCACAGCCAACAACGGGAAAAAAAAAAAAAATAAAATGTACCTGAAAAATGACCGGCGCCTGCCAAGAAGCAGAGCAAGACCCAGCTTGAGGAAATCATGCAGAACACCTTCTCTGTTCTCCGAGAATGAGAATTTAAAACTAGGCATTCTTTTCCTCAGTACCACAAAAACAACCGTGTTTAGTCGTTTGCTGCTAACGCGAATGTGATTAATCTTTGAGGGTTTTTTTTTAATTTTTTTTTTTTTTTTTCACTTTGTGCGGGCTCTCTACCATCACAAACAGAGCTGATAACAAGATATATGTAAAATTTTGGTTGTTTAATACTTCTCAATCAGGTTCCCGAATGCAGGGCTTTTTTATCATCCTTACAGAGGAAGAGTGTTAGCAAATGTAGTTCATTAGTTTCTAAGATAGCAAAAGTGTCTCTGGGGAAAAAAAAAAATCTCAAAGCTGGATCACTGAGCAGTGCTATTATTTTGCACAGGCTTTAAAGTTTAGTGTCTGGGAGAGGAGTGGTTGCCTTGATACGATTTTTAGCATATAATTCCATGAAATAAGACATGTTAAAAGCAATCTGCAAAGCCTCCCTAAAGCCCCAAACCAGTAATTTTCTTACTAGATCACATCAAGTACAGAGTATGTTCTGTTACTGTCTACAGTAAGGAGCTTATGTGATCTCCATCAAATGATGATGTGCCTCAGTTCTCTGCCTCTAAAGAAGAGCTCTCAGATTTACAAGGAAGCCACAAGATTTTTATTAACTTGTGTTCTCGTTTGTTCAGCTATTATAGTCACAAAAACTAAAAGGACTTTGCTGAAGGCACAAGCATGGTCCCCCAACCTGCCTTTTAATTAATGGCTTAACTTTTGTATGTCCAAATCAATCCATAAAGGAACTGACTCTTGGGGTACTGAGCAGGCAGAGCTGCCATTACTCTAAGCTTTGAACTAGCAAAAACTCATCCCTGTGCCTGGCTGCCTGGAGGACATTCCAACTGGAATGTCATTGACCAGGAGGATTATCTACACTGCTTTAAAACTTTTCTTCAGCGGACACGGTGGTTTAAGATTTCCCACCCTCTTCCTACCACTCATTCCCATCCCCACACCAAACTCCTCAGTTGCCTGTGAGGGTGTGCTTTAAATGACATCAGCAAGGAACTCCAGCATCTCCTACAATGTGCAATTGTGTCCCTTTCATCACCTTCTTCCGAGGTAGTTTCCTTCCAGCCTACAACCCTCCCTTGCTGTCGACATCCAGGAGCACCTGGTAAGCCAGGCCAGCTTTCTGGTCTGCCTGAAAAATTCACCGAGGGAGTGGTTTTTTTCTTTAAGTGAGATCACTGAGCTGATTCAGTTACTGTTCAACCACGTGAATGCAAGGGCAACCTCAGGAACACAGGCATGACACAGGAAGGGGATGGCAGCCTCCTCAGAGGCAGGGTGGCAGTGGGCAAATAGACGGATTTTTGTTTAATAGGTTTGGACAATTGCAACCTGCAAATCAATGCTCTTTTATTTCAGCTTTAAGGCTATTACCTAGTTGCCAGCTGCTGCTCACAAAAAATAGGTGCAAAATAATTTAGCTCTAACATACAGGACAAAGGTGCCCTTTGACCTCTTGAAGCACCAGGTTGGTTGAGTTCATACATGCCAAGCAACCCTTTGGAAGGATTTCAATCTAAAAAGAAAAGGCTGAAGCACTGGATTAAATCCTGTTCTCTGAAAGGACTGAGAAATACTGCAAGACAATGAAAGAGTGAGAAGAGGGTTTCTTTGTGATGCTTCTGGTAACATACATGCACAGGAGAGAAGGATTTATACAAGGCTGGCTACCTTGCCACAAAAAGCTAAATTAGGTTGGTTTCATATGATTTGTTCTCAATAAACCTAGTACTGACTGCTGTTTGTCAACATTTTTATTTATTTATTGATTGATTGATTGATTTATTGTCAGGGTCCTCTGAGTGCTCTGGAATTCACTTACTACTTTTCTGCCTCTGGAAGACAAACTCTTCTGGTGCCCTTTTCCAGCCTTCTTACACTTCATCAACTAAAAGCTCAGAGCCTAGACAGCCAGTTCTCTGAGCACCCTAGCTGTGAATTTTACTTAAGACTAGCCCTTTTGAAAGCACTTAAATAACTGAAATTCTCTCAGATGAACTCTTTCCACATTCTATCATGAATTCTGACTCCTTTCTTGCTGAAGTTTGTTGAAATAATTCTCAAATCAC